CGGCTGCTTAGGGCCAGCGGTAGCAATCTCGGCTATTCCTACTGAGCCACCAGCCATTGCCCTTTGGCACCACATGGTATCTTCTGGCCACCCTAATCTGGCTTGCTGCTTCAAGGTTTGGTACTGAAGTAAGATTCAACTGTTGGTCCTGGAGTATGCTTCTGTAAGTAGAATTAGAGGAGGCACTTCTTGTTCTTCGCTTCAGGCACCAAAAGGTTTTAGGCCAGTCCTGCTAACCATGGGCAATCAGATGCCTGCAGAAGCAGGACTTTATGATTTAGGTGGCAGCCCTGAGATTGTATCCAAGAACCACAAGTAATCTATCTCTTTGTAGACTTAATATGTGGACTAAATGAACATAAATAAGCGGAGGAGAGGGTGGCATTCTGTACACATTCATTTTCCAGGAACTCCCTTCATGGTTGAGAAGGAAGCCTCTGGTGACAATGTCTGTCCTGTGTGTGTGTGTGTGTGTGTGTGTGTGTGTGTGTCTGAAGTATGTTTTCTGTTTTGACTTTATTTATGGCTGCCACCTAAATAAAAAGAAACTATTAGATGCACGGGACGCAGGTGGTGCTGTGGGTTAAACCACAGAGCCTAGGACTTGCCGATCAGAAGGTCGGCGGTTCGAATCCCTGCGAAGGGGTGAGCTCCCATTGCTCGGTCCCAGCTCCTGCCAACCTAGCAGTTCGAAAGCACGTCAAAGTGCAAGTAGATAAATAGGTACCACTCCGGCGGGAAGGTAAACAGCGTTGCTCTGGTTCGCCAGAAGCAGCTTAGTCATGCTGGCCACATGACCCAGAAGTTGTATGCCAGCTCCCTCGGCCAATAAAGCGAGATGAGCGCCGCAACCCCAGAGTCGGCCATGACTGGACCTAACTGTCAGGGGTCCCTTTACCTCTACCTTATTAGATGCACACTGTTGCAAACTAGCTCAAAAATATGCCACTATTCTTCCCAACTGTTGTATAAGATTTTATATCAGATTTATATCAGTTTCAGATTTCCCTGACACCTGGCCTGCCCCTTAAACCATTTGTTTTGAGTAATGCAGAGATAAGCTGCCCTAGTTTTTGTAGTCTGCGATGCAATGCTCTTTATTTAATCATATCTGCCTGAGATATATTAGAGGCATTCTTCAACGGTTTTCTGCATAAATGTGGCTTTCTGGAAATACTGTTAAATCCCTCTTTTTCCTCTCTTGTATAGCTCTAGCTGATTGCTGCGGCATAAATCAGAGAATTATGTCTAGGTTCCTTCACTGTGTTATTCCAGTGACTATTTGTATCATTACAGGTGGGACTTACAAGAAAATGTTGCTGCATAAAGTGTTCCTGTTCCTGTTCCAGCTGACTGGCTGGATCCCTGCCTGTTTCTAGGATATTCCCAGTGCTTTTTTTCTGGGGGTACGCAGGGGTACGCATATCCCTTAACATTTTGTGAATCTAAGTTTGGCCTCATGGAGAGGTAGTATTTCAATATGAGTAGGAAAATGAGAGTACCCCTAAGCATTTTTTTAAAGGAAAAAAAAGCACTGGATATTCCATTCTGTTTCTCTCGTTCCAACAATTAGTCAGCCTTCCATGGCCTTTAACCACAGAAGCAATTTATGTGCTGGTAACAGTGACAGATTAAGGACCATTGCCCAGGCTATGAACCTGCTTCTTCTGGGGGAGTTCAACGCTATCTAGCGCAGGATTGCCACTGTGTCCTTCAACATTACTTTAGCCTGGCATTGATGGCATTGATTTAGCACTCCTGCTGCTTTACCTTCAATTTGATGAAAAAGAGTAATAGAGTTAAGTGTCATCCACTTATTCATAACACTTCACCCCAGATCTTTGCATGGCCTTTCTCAGTGATTTCATGCAAATGTTAAATAGCACGGCGGACCAAATGGAACCCTACAGACCCCATGGCATAATGCCAAGGGTCTGAGAAGGAGTCTTCTGGGATTGCTTGAAACCCCTCCCTCCGTTGAAATGGATCTGGAAACTCAGGTTCATCCAAAGAATGCCTGGACAACTACCAGCCTTTCAAATACCTTGTCCGTTAGCAACTGGCTGATAATTGTTAATATCTTCTGGTTCCGGAGCAGGTTTTTGTTTAGAGGCAGCCAAAGCATTTGGTCTCTCAAGAAGACATTTATCTCAAGAAGAATTTATCATCTTCTGGACCCAGCAAGCCAGCATATTTTACCCTGGTGTAAATTACATTGGATTCCTATGATTTATAATTCTTTGTGTCTTTCAGCAATGAAATAAGCTGCCTATGGAAGTTAGTGAATTCCTTTTCTGGATGCTTTTGAGGAAAAAGAAGAAAGACATTGGTTAGGGGTGATTCTGATAGAATGTGGCCTCTCTTCTTAATCTCTGAGTGGCCCTGAAAGTTAATAAAATGTGTGAATTCAGGAAGAGTGTGCCAGTGCTTTCTCCAGTGTGAGAATTCCATCCAAATACCTCGTATTTAGCGGTGGCTTATAATGATTTGAAGATTAGGATGCTCATTCTAATGCAAAAAAAGCTGTAAAAATAAAAGTCAGTGCATTCAAGTAGATGGCATGATGCTAGAAAAGCCTTTGGGGGTTTCACAGCAGTGTTTAAAAAAGGCTCCTTAGCCAGCTCTGCAGGGTGAACGAAACATGTCCAGAATCATTTTAGGGAGAGGTGATTGCCCCTCTGTGTTGCCTCACTAATGGACTTGCTTTCCATTTAAGCCTTCACATCAATCATGTAGGCATCAAGTCTCGCTGTTTCCTTTTGTGCAGACGTCAAGATGCACTTTTTATCTATTGCTGATTTCTTGCTGTGCTAATTGGGTTTTCTTCACCTCATCTGTATATTTGGCATTGATTTTAATTACGCTTGCTTGATGGACAGCTTAGTTTGAAGCTCCCCAAATTCCTTTTCTCATTTCTAGCAACAAGTTTAAGTTAACAATTACTTGAGGAAAGGGTGCAAGACTTCATTAAAAATAATAATCATCAAATTGTTCCCATTGTACCTGTAAGGATAACTGAAATGCTTTTACTGAACAAGCCTGGACATTTGTAGGTGATTACCTACTTCATGAGATGCTAAAGTTGGAATTGTGAGCAGCAAATCAAATAAATCAATTAATGTAATAATGACACACAATCAGTGTGTGAACAGATATATATTCTTAAGGCTGAAGTTCTGTATCCACTTCCCTGGGAGCAAGTCCTGTTGAATTCAACGAGACTTGCTTTGGAATAGACATATTACAGCAGAGCTTTTCAAACTGTGTGTCACAACACGTTAGTGTGTTGGATGCAATATGTAGGTATGTCACATGAACACTCCCTGTGCTCTTCCCAGGGCTGGAAAAGGGTTAGTTTAATCTCCGCTTTGCTTTTGCACGTCTAAAAAGCATGTCACCAACATGAAAAGTTTGGAAAGCTCTGTATTACAGGATTGCACTGTTAGTATGAATTGTTTCGATACACATTTATTCCGATCCACAGCATTTGTTTTCAAGACAAGTAATGTGTTTTCAAACCCCTTCTGTGACATTGAGGGTCCCGCCAGGTGTCCAAATAGAGGAGCATCACAGATGATGTGGACAGAGTTGGCATATCCTCTGTGTTGATTAATGGGCAATAGGCAATTCACAGCCCAACTCACATTGAGTTCCTTGGTGCCTACTGCGCAGATAACTGAACTCTTGCAGTCACAGTGTTTTACACATTGTTGTAACTTGATATGATTCATGATGATACTCTCATTAGTAGCTTTATATTTGTGGGGTTATCTGTATAGCAGCAACTATCGTCTTTCTGAGAGCAGGATCATTCTCTAGAACAGGTTGTAGGTGTGTGTCATGCTGTGTCACAGTACGTTCAGATGATCCCAGCATTTTATCGAATATAGGTCAAACTCTGCTCTAATTTACACAAGGATAAACCCAGGGATACTCTACTGAAGCTATGGCAACTGCATTGAATGGAGGGCAGTATAAATGATACCTCAGTTGGCCATTGTGTAAAATGAAATAAAAAATCTTAGTTTAAATCAGCACAATTAGAAATCTGAAAGCTGGAAAACAATTGAATGCTGAATTCTGGCCCTCATGGATTGCCTGTACTACGATAATAGCTACAGGAGAAGAAAATGACATTACAGAAACACTGGTGATCAGCTGTATACTTAAATACGATTCCATACAGATGAACTGTTGGTCCACTTCCCAGGATTCATGAGGATCAGTGAATACATATGTGGACACAGAAGTGATTTCTGAGTTGATGGTGGTTTGGAGGAGCCAATAAGGATTGGGGGGGGGGATGTCCAAAATTTGGAGGATCTATAAGGATTAGTACACAATGGGAATATTAGAAAGCACTGGATCTGTGACTTTTATTATTCAGTCATGGGGGACAGATGTGGCCTGTGATTTAGCGGTGGTGGTGTGTTGAGGCACCTCGCAAAACAATTATGTATTTTCAAGACAATTCATTTCACTAGATCAAACTTTTGTGTGCAAGACCAAGTAGACCTTCTCTCTCTCTCCCCTTCCCTCTGCCTCCCCTTCTCCTCTCCCTCCCACACCCAAATCCACCCGCACTCTCTTTCTCCCAACTGCTGCAGCACCCCTCTTTCTTCCCATTGCTCACTCCATTTCCCTATTCCCAGTCCCCATATTGCTCCCCCTTCCCTTCTACCCTTACAGTCTAACCACTATACCACAGTGTCTCTCTCTGTTGAATTAGGGTTGGTGCCTTCTATGAAAATTAATTCAATTTTAAAACGGAAAGGAAGCAAAACCAAAACAAACAAAACGAAACAAATAAACAGCCATCTGGGGCTTAGACTGCCAAAGTGGTGAAACTTGAAATAGCAGTGGTTCAGTGTCCAGAAGTCAAAGTGCTGTCTGCATTGTTTAATATTGTCTCATCTTTGTTCTTCAGAAAAATTCAAAGGAAGAGGGAGAGCAGGATCACATTTTGATTCAGCCCGCAGACGGAGTAGAGCAGTCCTTTATCACATCTCTGGACACCTACAAAGAAGAGAAAAGAACAAATTAAAAATTAATAATGTAGGTGTAGAGCACTAAGCTTCTTTTTGTGTGGTTATTTGTACAGTGAATTTTCTTCTAACTCAGAAGAGTTTCTCTAATGGGTACTACTAATCATTTGTAATTTTATTTGTAGTACGTTCTTGCTCTCAAGTTTCTTTTCAATAATGCAATATGGAAGGTCAATATATAAAGCAAAAAACTATGCCAGTATAATATTTTTATAGAGAATGAATTGAGCTATATTACAAGACAAGGGTAGAACACAATAGAGGCTGGCTGGGACCTTGGCTATTCATATAGGTGACACATAAGCTTGCAGATCAATGCCATTCATTTTCACAGCTGCAAGCTTCTTTATGTTTTCTTTTCTTTAGCAAAGTTCTTAAAACTGATTCTAATGTAGTATATAAGGAATTTCTCTGCTGGATGCACACAATCTCCAAGCTTCTCTGGAGTTTGAGCCAATTCAGAATACCCTAATCCCTTGTGTTAGGAATTTGATTGTTTTCCTTCTCCTAGAAATGTTGTAGTGTTGTTGAAACTCCTTTGGACTTCCTTAGTATTCTGCAAAAGTTTTACCTAAGGAGGAACTTCCATATTAAGTAGGGACAGCCTAGGGATGTGTAGAACTCACATAGATAATGTAACCTCCGGTAATGTCAGAGGCGTGCTCTCATATGAATGGTACAATTTCATATACAGTGGGTTCAGAGCCCCTCTCTGAGAGCCAAACTAGATGCGATACTAATGGTGTTCCCACTATTAACAGGACTGAAATTGCTGTACCAACCCCTTACCTGAATGAGACTCTGAAATGAATTTCCCAAGGGGGGGGCAAATATGTGACCTGGGGTGAGGTGACCAATCATGGGGGAGTGGACCAGGCCAGTTTTAGGGCTACTCCAACCCCTCCTTTTCTTATGTGGTTGGGTGGAGTCAAACAAGTAGAAGCTGATCACCTTGGGTGGTATTTAGTGCAGGCAGCTGAGCAAATTAAGATGAAATCCTATGCCACCCTGAGGCATTATAGGGTTGTGGGTTCATGGGAGCAATCAACTATAGCCCCAGACTAGGGGGAAGTGGTTTCGGGGTGCCTACAGGGATGGGCCGGGACATTTGGGTGAATGCTTTTCTGTACATGTTTGGTCCTCACTCCTCAAGGCTCATCTAGCAAGAAGGAGGGATGAAGTACCTTTAATGTACCTTTAATGAAGTACCTTTTAGAAGACATCTGAAGGCAGCCCTGTTTAGCGAAGCTTTTAATGTTTAACAGACTATTGTATTTTAATATTTTGTTGTACCCCAGCCACTCTGGGTGGGGTATAAATAAATATAATAATAATAATAATTATCACTGAATGGCATGCTCAGGGGATGATAAGAGGGGTGCTCTCCTCTAAGCAATGAATGAACTTCCTTGCCCTCACTTATTAATTGGCTCTTGCTTTGCAGATCATCTCGTGTTATATTTGAATAATATACTGGCTCTTGAGTCCTCTTCACAGGTGTTGGGGCAAATGCATTGTTAGCAACTGAAGAGCAGATTTGATCCTTTCCTCTATCAATGTCCTAATAAAAAAATGCCCCCCACCTGTGCCTACTACTAGGCTTGGAAGGAAAGGTCCCCTTGGTACCAGTAGAGGTTACCACTCCCATGGAATGTGGGGTGGGATTTTAATTTGGACTACAGTGAGGGAGGAAAGAGTTAAACCTGCTAACGGGCTGTTTGTTTATTTTATTTTATTTTAAAAAGCATAGAGATGATGGCTAACAATGCATTTAGCATCATATACAGTTTGGCTCTGAAAAGGGACATAAGATACTCTTGCAGCATTCAACATTTCACTTGCTTTTCTCCCATTTCTTATGCCTGTGTGCTATGGAAAGATACAGTGTCATACTACACACCCTTCCTCCCAAATGCTGGGCTGCTCATCATCTTGCTAATTGATACTTGTGGAGGTTGCCTTCTTCCCACCCACCTCCTTCTTTAACTGTTGAGCTACACGCACAAAATATTTTTCACCATGCATGTCAGTTTGGAAAGATACACATTCCCTGAACCAGGGCAGCAGCGTTTAGAACTGGAATGTTTTAGCACAGTTGCTCATATTTCCATTGCAAGTTTAAAGCATGAGGTATTTTTAGTAATTCATTACTTTCAGTCTCCCTTTAATTGGCAGCAAGACTTTGAATCAAATCATTGCTGTTGTAAATAAAACCTAGAAGCTGAGGAGATTTCTCCCTGGATTTGAAATGGATGTGTGTAGCTTGGTAGAATACATAAATCGATCTTCTTGTGCTTTAATTGCAATCATAGTCTCTGCTAAGGCTTCCATGATGCACATCTCTAAGTAACCACAGCTGACAAGTAAGCCTACAAAATACACTTGCTGTTTTTGTAGGCTGGTTTCTTTTGACACCAGACCTTTGGACTAATGCTTCTACAAGATGCCCTAATGCAATCTCAGCTACAAGTGGATACAATTTTAATTGTGTGCATTGATTAACACATTACTTTGCTCTTGCGTCCCCACTTTTTGCTTGTCCTGTACTTGTGTTTTGCTTGTTTTAATCCACATCAAGCTGGGAAAGACATTTTGGCAACCAGGAAGCCAAAGACATGAGTTCATGTCTTTAAAATGTTTTTTTAAAAGCTTGCATGACTGAGAAGTTGAAATATAGCGGATGCTCTGGTCAGTTTCTTGCCACTCTGTTGCTCCTTGATAAAAATCCTGCTATAACACACAAAGTGGCCAAATTTTGTGCAGCAGCAATCAAAATATGACATATAATAGTTAGCACCCGTTATATATTAGTATAATATAGAATATATTGACCAATGGACACTTCTAGGTCAGAAGGTTTTCCACTCTGACAGATAAATGATCACCCATAACTGCTTTTTAATGTATATGTGATTTTATTTCATTTTATCTTGTTTTCAGCTTCCACAAAATTTTAATTGGTGTTTTGCTCTTAATACTGGTCATTGAACGTAATAAAATGACATGTAGTAAATTTCTCAAATGGAGGGTATATTGAGCCCGGAACTTGTTGGAGGTTGTATTTTGTTGTTCTCTGAATTTTAATTTTTAATTATGGTGAGATGATCCTGGGAAAGAAAGGCTTGATATTTAATATGTAAATATTAAGTGTATTTAATATTTTCTGATGAAAATAATAATATAATGTAAACATATGCTTAATCCACCCCTTGGAATTTATGAGATGAGCAGAACAATTCACCCTGAGATCAGAAAGCAGCAGGGCAAGGCAGAGAATTTTAGATTCACTGCCACATCTGAAACTCTGTTAAACATGCACCAGCCAGGATGGGAGGTGTGATGGTGGGCTTTTATTTTTATTTTTTGCTATGCCAGCTCCAGGCTGGTGTCACTGAGGAGCCCTTTAGGGAATTCACAGGGCTTTAGATTCAGAAGTCTCAAAGCCACCTGCCTCCAGACAACCTATTTCTGGGCTTTCTGGGCTCTACATCAGCATGCCACTCCCACAGGACGCACCATCCCCATCCTTGTTCTTTTTATTATAGAATCATAGAATTGGAAGGGACCTTTAGGGTTTACTAGTCCAACCCCCCTGCAAAGCATCCATGGCTACTCAAACTCTGCTTAAAAACCTCCAAGGAAGAAAAGAGTCCGCTACCTTCTAAGGGAATCTGTTCCACTTTTGAACAGCTTGTACCATCGGAAAGTTCTTCCTGATGTTTAGTCCGAGTCTCCTTTCTTGTAACTTGAATCTGTTGGTTCGGGTTCTAAGCTCCAGAACAGGAGAAATCAGGCTTGCTCTATCTTCCATGTGACAGCCCTTTAGATATTTGAAGATGGCTATCATATCTCCTCTTACCCAGGCCAAACATACCCAGCTCCCTCAACCATTCCTCATAAGGCTTGGTTTTCTAACTTACCACCTACTTGGGCAAAGCTTGGGACTTTACTAAACTTTACTTAACTTTGGTTAGATTGTGTTCATACTTAGCAAAGTACTCTGACATCAGTGCCTACAGCTGAAACAACAACACACAAAACGATTTACCCTTTTTTGCAGCTACGACAATAAAGAGACAGAAAGTATGGCTTTAGTGTTGTATTGCCAAGCATTATTTTTTAATACCCGAGGTGGGCAAGTCAGCCAAGAATTATTACATGAACAGTCAGTTTAAAAGGTCAAGAGTTCTGTAATGGATGCTTCAGAAATGGCTGTAGCTAAACTGAAAATGCCAGCTTATGCTGGTAACAGCACCTCTCAGGAGCAGCACCATGCATTTTCTCTGGATTTATAATGCAACAGCCGCTCTCTGGAGCACTTTTGGCCTCTTTACTGAGTTAGCATCGAGGATTTTCCCTTTCCATTTCTGGCAGAAAGTGTTTCCATTCTCCTCCCTTACAGTTAAAATAACCCTGCAGTACATTAATGTGAAGTGCGATTATGCTGAGCCCATGGAAGGAGGATTAAAGGAACAATATTGGCAAATTTAGCTTTGGTGGGCAATGTGTGGGTGGGGGAGGGCAGCTTTTACAAAGTTGTAAGACTACCAAAAAGTTTTCCATTAGTTGTCAAATAAGAACTGATGCATTATATATTGATTCTCTTTCTCTCTTTCCCTTCCAGAATGTTTTTGTAGATAAACCAGCATTTCCAGAATACAAAGTTTCAGATGCAAAAAAGTCGAAATTCATACTTTTGCATTTTAGCACTTTCAAAGCTGGCTGGGACTGGCTTATTTTATTGGCGACGTTTTATGTTGCCGTGACTGTACCTTACAATGTTTGCTTTATTGGCAACGATGATCTATCTACAACCCGAAGCACAACTGTCAGTGACATTGCAGTGGAAATTCTTTTTATCATAGGTAAGACACACCTCTTCTCTTTCTGCTTTGCTCATTTTGTGGCTCTGAAAATAACTATAGGTTTTTGACAAGAAGAAATAATGCTGCATTCAAATATCTGTATTTACCGTATTTTTCGCTCTATAAGACGCACCAGACCACAAGACGCACCTAGTTTTTGGAGGAGGAAAACAAGAAAAAAAATATTCTGAATCTCAGAAGCCAGAATAGCAAGAGGGATTGCTGCGTAGTGAAAGCAGTGATCCCTCTTGCTGTTCTGGCTTCTGGGATAGTTGCGCAGCCTGCATTCGCCCCATAAGACGCACACACATCTCCCCTTACTTTTTAGGAGGGAAAAAGTGAGTCTTATAGAGCAAAAAATACGGTATTTTCTGGCATGGCTGACCATACTGTTAGGCAGAGCAAAACAGACCGTCTGAGACAGCATATTTTGTTGTGCCATCAAAGGGAAGGAGTTAGTGATTTAGGCTGTAATCCTGTGTACACTAACCTAGCAGAAAGCTACACTAAATTCAGTAGGACTTAACGGCTAAGTAGAAGTGAATGGAATTGATCCGTTGATGAAAATAAGAATAATAAATTGTGGCAGGGGAAGGGGGAGTGAAGGTGCCACTTGGATTTCCATCTTTAGTCATCAATATATATTGGACTGTTTCTCTTTTTCTGTACAAAGTACAGATGATAGATGCCTGTCAAATTACCAGGCATCACTAACTGACTGACAAGGCATTTAAGCTGGTATACTTGCATTTTAAGCCATCCCTTCCCTAGTTAGAGCATATGCAGAGCACCTTTCCCTCTGATTAATTTCAGAGAAGCCTCACATATTTGGGAAGTCAAGCTTTAAGGGTATGGCTTCAGGGAAATCCCGAATCTCCATTTGAAAGTTATCCATTGCATTGACTTTAGTTACAAAATGATCAGGGTCCATGACTATGAAAGGGGTCTGTGAATCATGGTATCAGTTTGATGTTTGTATATCAAGGCAAACTTGCACAAGTGTCAGACGGTAGTCATGGAAACCCTTACTCTATGATCAGAGCCACAAGTGGATTAAACTCACTTGAAGCTATCTTTGGTCCATCTGGCTCAACATGATTTACACAGACTGGCAGCAGCTCCCCAGGATTCAATCAGAAGTCTTTCCCAGTCTAACCTGGAAATTGAACCAGTGACTTTTTTGAATGCAAACAAATGCTCTACCACTGACTTTCCTTGACAACAGTCCTTCCAAGTGGTGATTTCTATGAGCTTCATGAATGAACATGTATTTGAGTCTTGAGTTACCCCACATCCAAGCTCTGCATTCTAGCCATTATGCTGCATAGCTTATCTGATTTATTTAACCTTATAGTTCTAGCTGCTTTTACTAGGGAGTAAGAATTTTACTCAGGGACGCGGGTGGCGCTGTGGGTAAAACCTCAGTGCCTAGGGCTTGCCGATCGCATGGTCGGTGGTTCGAATCCCCGCGGCAGGGTGAGCTCCTGTCTTTCAGTCCCAGCTCCTGCCCACCTAGCAGTTCAAAAGCACCCCTAAGTGCAAGTAGATAAATAGGTACCGCTTTATAGCAGGAAGGTAAACGGCGTTTCCGTGTGCTGCGCTGGTGCTGGCTCGCCAGAGTAGCTTCGTCACGCTGGCCACGTGACCCGGAAGTGTCTCCGGACAGCGCTGGCCCCCGGCCTCTTAAGTGAGATGGGCACACAACCCTAGAGTCGGACACGACTGGCCTGTACGGGCAGGGGTACCTTTTACCTTTAAGAATTTTACTAAGGAGTAAGAATTTTACTAGGGAGTGACTCGGATGGCGCTGTGGGTTAAACCACAGAGCCTAGGACTTGCTGATCAGAATCCCCACGACGGGGTGAGCTCCCGTTGCTCGGTCCCTGCTCCTACCAACATAGCAGTTCGAAAGCACGTCAAAGTGCAAGTAGATAAATAGATACTGCTCCAGCGGGAAGGTAAACGGCGTTTGTGTGCTGCTCTGGTTCACTATAAGCGGCTTAGTCATGCTGGCCACATGACCCGGAAGCTGTAGGCCGTCTACCTCGGCCAATAAAGCGAGATGAGCGCCACAAGCCCAGAGTCAGTCATGACTGGACCTAATGGTCAGGGGTCCCTTTACCTCTAAGAATAGTTCATTCTCCTACATTCTCCTACCGAGGCTGAGGGTAGAATTCGGAATTCTGATGACTAGGTTTTACTTAAAAAAAAAAAAAAAAGCACCTCACATTTCCTATCAACACCTGAGATGAACTGAGAGAATTAGCTGCATTATTCACAAATTCATCCATTAAATCCATCATTGACTAATGCCTTAGAATTTGCCTTCTTTCACCAACCACAGATGCTATCCATCTAATATATTATTCTCCAGTACACATAACTTGTACAGGGTGTAGAAAGATGTCTTCTTCCCTGTACAACACCAGGCTGGGCTGCTGTGCATACAATTTACTAGGGTAGTTGCTATTGCTATGCAAATAGAGAATAACAATGAAGGATAATGAAGTTAAGCCTATGCTGATGTAACATTTCATTATGTCTTAACTAGAGTTAAAATTGGGAGGGTTCTTTGAAATTAACGTCATGCCTGGTTTGACCCTGGGACCTTCTTCATTAAAAACCGATGCTCTACCACTTAGATACCCCCCCCCCCAATTTTGGTGTGTATTTGTTTTGTGCCTTTCTCTCCTCCCAGTAACTCAGAGCAGCTACCAATAGCATTTGGAGAAATGTTTCTTTGAGTGGAAGGCTCAAAGTCTAATACACACACTATTGATCTGATGTATCATTAAGGCGGTTTCTTCATAAAGGATGCTTCAGTCCCAGGAATGCTAGTGGAATTTATTTTAGAGTATTTTTTTTTTTTAATTTTTTATTAGTTTTATAAATAAGTGCAATTAAACGTATACAAAGTCCGTTACATGGCTTATGCAAATCATATCCACTCCACCAATCATAAGTGTTATACAAAGTTTTTACAAATCATAGATATAATACAGAGTTGCTTTAGGCTCTGCCGAGCCTTGAGCTTCCCTCCACTCCTTTGGTAAGTATCGAATAAGTTTTACGGTCACGTATTTTATCTCTTTTACCTAATAATCACTTGCTGTTAGAGTTATTCCAACCCCGCCAGTGTCGTCTGAAAATTGGTTCCCATATACTTCAAAAATTTGTTCCAATTGTCATGAAATTTCTGTTCGTCTTGATCTCTTAGTCTTCCTGTTATTCTAGCGAGCTCGGCATAGTTTATCACTTTAACCTGCCAATCATTTATATTAGGTATAGCCTCCGTTTTCCAGTTTTGTGCTAACATAATTCTTGCGGCTGTTGTGGCATATAGAAATAAGATCTTATCTTCTTTTCTGATTTCTTTACCCGTCATTCCTAGCAGGAAAGCTTCGGGCTTTTTGGGAAAGGTATATTTAAGGATTTTTTAAAGTTCATTATAGATCGACTCCCAAAAGCCTTTCACTTTGCTGCATAACCACCACATATGGTAGAAGTCGCCTTCTACCTCTCCGCATTTCCAGCATCTTTTATTTTTCAACCTATACATCTTGGCCAGCTTCACTGGCGTGTGGTACCACCTATAGATCATTTTCCACAGATTTTCTTTTAATGCCGTACACGCCGTGAACTTCATGTTAGTATTCCACAATTCCAGCCACCTCTCAAAGTTGATGTTATAACCAATATCTATCGCCCATTTAATCATGGCCTCCTTCACCTCCTCGTCTTTTGTGTGCCACTCCAGTAGAATATCATATATTCTAGACAGTATTTTATTCTTACCTTCTATCACTTCCACATTAAATTTGGATTTTTTATCTTCAAATCCTGATTTCTTTTTATCTTCCTTTAGCAAGTCATTTACCTGGTGGTATTGCAACCACCCCGTAAATGAGTTTTTTATCTCTTCATACGGTCTAAGTTTTATGCCTTGATCAGTTTTCTGTGTAAGTTCTTCATAGGTGGCGTTCTTCCCTTCCATATTGATTTTTTTAACAGTCAGTACCTCTATTGGTGAAATCCACCAAGGGGTCTTCCTTTCCAATAGGTTTTTATTTCTTTCCCATGCTTGGAGTAATGGTCCTCTAAAAATATGGTTTAGAAAGCCTCTGTGTACTTTCACCTTTTCGTACCACAGGTACGAGTGCCACCCGTACCTGTTATCAAAGCCCTCCAAGTCCAAGATATCCCTATTCTCCAATCTTATCCAATCTTTCAGCCACAGTATACATGCCGCTTCATAATATATACTTAAATCCGGTAGGGAGAAGCCCCCTCTTTCTTTTTTATCGACCAGTATTTTCATTTTTATTCGCGGTCTTTTTCCCTGCCAGATATACCTCGCCAAGGCTCTTTGCCATTCTTTACACTGCTTTAACCCTTTAAGTACAGGGATGGTTTGAAATAAGAATAGCATTCTGGGGAGGACATTCATTTTAATAACCGCTATCCTCCCCAAGAAGGATAGTTTCATTCTCTCCCAGATTTCTAAATCTTTCTTAATATCCTTCCAAGTAGTCTCATAGTTATCCTTGTATAAGTTAATGTTTTTAGCTGTAATCCACACTCCAAGGTACTTCACCTTCTTTGCTATCATAATTCCCGTCTTTTGTTCTAGATCTACAGTATCTTCTTTGGTTAAATTTTTGGTTAGCATTTTGGTCTTATTCTTATTAACTTTAAGGCCTGACACAGCACCGAACTCTTCAAATTTTTGTAGGGCTTCTTTTACGCTGTTTTTGGATCTTCTAGTGTTAATACGATATCATCCGCATAAGCTTTGATTTTGTGTTCCTTAGTTCCTACCTTGACTCCTTTAACTTCTGTTGTTTCCCTCAGTTTCTTAGTAAATACTTCCAATACTGTTATAAACAACAAAGGAGACAAGGGGCATCCTTGTCTAGTCCCTTTGGATATGTCAAAAAATTCTGATGTAGTATTATTTATTACCAGCTTTGCTTTTTGCTCATAATAGATAGCTTCAATGCCTTTTCTAAATCTTTCTCCCATCCCCATCATTTTCAAATTTTCTGTCAAAAAGCGCCAAGAGACATTATCGAATGCCTTTTCGGCATCAATAAATATCAGTGCCGCCTGTTTATCTATTCTACTTTCCAAGTATTCAATGATGTCAATTACATGTCTTACGTTATCCTTCAATTGTCTCCCTGGAAGGAAGCCCGTTTGGTCTTTATGTATTCTACTATTTAATACCTTTTTTAATCTTTCTGCCATTACATCCGCAAACAATTTATAGTCGTTATTTAATAGCGAAATCGGCCTGTAATTCTTCACTTCTAAGGTGTCTGCATCTTTTTTAGGAATTAATGTAATATAGGCTTCCTTCCATGTGTTCGGAATCCTTCCTTCATTTATGGTATTGTTCATGACTTCACATAGAGTTGGACATAGTTGGTCGCTTAATACTTTATAATATTTGGCCGGTAAACCATCCGGCCCTGGCGCTTTTCCAATTTTCATTTTATTTATTGCCTTCCTTATCTCATTTTCTGTAATCAGCTGATTTAATAGCTCTTTTTCTTCCGTTGCAATCTGTTGTAGATGGTGTTTTTCCAAATAGCGTTCTATTTCATAGTCTGTTTCCTTTCCTCTTTTATATAAGTCATTATAGTATTTCTGAAATATCCTTTTTATTTCTTTTGGTTCTTCCACTATCCTTTCTCCATCTCTTATCTTGCAGATCGTATTTTGTTTTTTCCTTTCTCTTAATTGCCACGCCAAATATTTCCCTATTTTATTTGCTGATTCAAAGCTCTTTTGTTTCATCATTTTAATTCTCCCCTCAATCTCCTGATTTACTATCATGGTAAATTGAGCTTGTAGTATCTTTATATTTTGTTTTATTGTCTCCTCTCCTGGTTTAATAATTAATTTTCCTTCATTTTCCATAAGCTGTGTTAGGATCTCTTCTTTCTTTTTCTCTTTTTCTTTTCTTAGGTGACTATTTTTCTGGATTAAGAAACCCCTCATGACAGCTTTTCCTGCATCCCAAACCGTTTCTATAGCTGTCCCTTTGTTTAAGTTCCACTTGAAGTACTCTTCAATTGTTTCTTTTGCCTTGCTTACAATCTTTTGGTCATTGAATAAATATTCATTCATTCTCCATCTGAACGCTCTAACATCTTTTCCCTTTATCTCTATGAGTACTGGATTGTGGTCAGACACAGTTTGTGGGAGAATTTCAGATTTAATTAAACTCTGCGTCAATTCCTTCGAGATCCAGATACTGTCTATTCTCCCCCAACTCTTATTTGGGTTTGAGAAAAATGTATACTGTTTTGTAGTGGGGTTTTTAGAGTATTTTAGAGTATTTTAAGGGAAATATGCTATTGTGCAGAGCAACTATGAACAAACAACAAAGATGGGAGTCACCTTAATTTTTAACTGAAGCCACAGAGAGAAAGAATAAGAAATTACTGGCTGAGATATACAGACCCACCACTGATTTCTTCTGCCACATGGCGGGGCAATTTAACACCACCCGCTTTCATTATTTCATCCATGCACAAATTTCATGGCGTTTATGACAAGGACATAAAGAAATGGACATTCTTCATCTCAGCTCTTTCTGTCTGTTATACTATTGCATCTCATGCCTGCCTTGTATCTGTTTGAATATTTTTGAATGGTGGTATGTCAGAAATTTCATTGCCTTGTCAGGCCCTGTAGACGAGAAAGTCTGAGGCCTGCAGGTAAGCAATTACGATGGCCACTCTGTAAAGCCAGAGTCAGCAGAGAGGGAGACTGTACAGAAGAGATGCACAGGCAGAGGTTTTTTAAATCATTCAACATCTGTGCATGGCCTAGTTGACAGATGCCAGTGTTTTAACTTTGGTAGCTTGGTACATGTACATTTATAATGCAAAATAGGATTATAGAATCAAAGAATCATAGAACTGTAGAGTTGGAAGGAACCATGAAGATAATCTTGCCCAACCTTCTGCAACTGTGCTATCCCTGATCTTACCACCTTCCAGATCAGCATGTTTTCATTAGGCAATTTGAGATGTATCTCACAATGACAGTCTTATGGAATGTTAAAAAATTATTTCAGATCTGCCAGAATTTAACATGGGAACTTTTAAACTTTGGGAAGGCATTCACAAGTCACTTAATGTGAGGTGGAGTTTTAGAAAATGCAGATGGGTGGATTGATTTAAAACAACCCCCAGTTTTCCAGCCTGAGACATGCGCTGATAGGAAACATGATATGTTAAAAATTACCTATGAATGTGAAACTGATTTTGTAGTTGTTTTTCTTTATCTGCATGTGTTGCTTACCTTGTGGAAGGGCTTTAGATTCCACTCCTCCCATCTGCATAATCATAGCTGAAGAATGGGGAAACATTCCTTAAAAAAATAAAAAAGAGGGCTGTCCAAAAAGGATAGCCATTTTGGACACCATATTGACCCAACTTTACTGGAGCAACTTCTTTGAGGTCAAGGGTTTCAGCATGAATCCACATCACAGGAGTATTTAAAAAGCTCAGAATCGTTGTAGATTTAAAAGCAGAAGTTCAAAAGCTTTTGTTTCTGATGTTTCTGATCTGTTTTATATTTGTTTTATGGTTCTCTTTTGTAGGCTCTCTTTTGGAAATCTAGATTAATAAAATTATTGGGGTTTGTTTGTTTTTTTAAAAAAAGAATTGTTGTAGATTGAAAGCCTTAGTAAGTAGGAAGAAAGCAGAAACAATGAAAGTGTTTATAATCCCTTATAATTTCTATGAATGTTCCCTTCTTCCGTGTTTCAGATTACATGGATGTTTATTCAGGAGCATAAGTGCAGAAACACAGCCTATTCAGGAACATAATGACTTCAGGAACACAATGACTTCAGGAACATAATTATCACAATAGTGGGCAATCAAATGTGGACTTTGAAGTAGGAATACACACACACACACACACACACACACAGAGCGCCATTTTGAAACAGGGAAGTGGGGACCATAGAATCATAGCATTGTAGAGTTTGGAAGGACCTTGAGGCTCATCTAGTCCAATCCCTTGCAGGAATTGCAGCTAAAGAATCCCTGGCCACCCAAGCGCTGTTTAAAAACCTCCAATGAAGAGGGGGTGTCTACCACCATCCGAGGTAGTCCATTCCACTGCCAGACTCAGTGTCAGAAAGTTCTTCCTAATGTTCAGTTGGAATCTCCTTTCTTGTAAATTTGAATCCAGAAGAAAATAAGTTAGCTCCATCTTCATGAGACAACCCTCCAGACATTTGAAGATGGCTATCATAGCTTCTCTCAGACTTCTGTTCTTCAGGCTAAACATGCCCAACTCCCTCAACTGTTCCTCATAAGGAAGGCTTGGTTTCCAGACCTGTGATCATCTTGGTCACCCTTCTCTGCCTGCATTCCAGCTTGTCAATATCCTCCTTAAACTGTGGTGCCCAGAACTGGACACAGTAATCCAGATGGGATTTGACCAAGGCAGAATAGAATTGTACTATTACTTCCCTTGATCTGGACATTACTGTTGATGCAACCAAGAAATGCATTAGCTTTTTTGCTGCAACATAACACAGTTCACTCGTGTCGAGATTGTGGTCTACTAAGACCCCTAGATCCTTTTCACGTGTACTGTTGTCAAGTCAGGTGAACCCTACCAAAATTGATTTTGTTAGTTTCAGCCCAGTTCTGCAAGGTCATCTTGAATCCTGATTCTATCTTCTGAAGTATTAGCTACTCTTCCTAGTGTGGTGTCATCTGCAAATTTGATGAGCATCCTATCAATTCCTTAATCTGAGTCATTTATAGGTCCTAACCATGCAGGCAAAATAACTTATAGTTAGTAGAGCATGAGACTTTTTATCTCAGGGTCTTTCCGCAGGGAGTTGGACTACATGACCCTTGTGGTTCCTTCCAACTCTATGATTCTATGTCTACTTAGAAGTAAGGCCTATGGAAATCAATGAGGTTTACTCCCAAGTAAGTGAAGTTATAATCACATTCTATATACGTTTTGAAACAGGTCAATAATAATAAATTACTTTTTGTGACTCTTAGTTGGCTTTTACATTTAGAAAACTGAATCATGGTAGCTCAATAAGTAGATAGCTATCTTCTAATCTCTTGTTTAGGTCTGTTGTCATGTTTTCCATTACTAGAATAGACCAAAGTGGCTATTTATCTATTTCTTCTCAGCAGGAATGGTCGGCTTTCTCCCTTTCCTTGTAATGAATGAGTGCTCCTGATTTGTAGGTTTAATCTGATTGATAAACCAGGCTTTGAATGTTGCCCCAATTTTATTTCTAAACAGGCTGGAATACTGTACTTTAATTAAGAACTAAACTTGAAAATTATTACTTAGGGGTGCTTTTTTCTTTTTCTTTTTTTACTGTGGAAATTTTATGGGGAAATCTGTCAAAGTCACCACATCTTAAGCATCTGAAAAATAAAACAAAACAAATAGCAATGAGACCAATTAAATAAATGTGCAGCTTTTAGAAGGTCGGGAAGTAAAGCCTAATTAATCTTCTCTGGATGTGACTTTTGTAGAATAATGACTATTCAGTGACAGCAAGAAAGAAATGTAGGGGGGAAAGCCATTGCTGAAGAAAAGTTCAAAATTTGCCAGAATTGCCTGATTGAGTAAAAAAGTCAAAGGGGTGAAGAACAATATGCCCAGTGAAAATGTTCCAGTGCTTTGATTGCTTTTCATCAGAAACTCTTTAGTGGTAACACTCTGCAGGCATAATAGTTGGCCACAAAAGGAACTAGGATCTTATGTATATTTATAAGCAAATCAGGAAGTAGGGCTGAGAAAAAGCAATTATGAAACCTGACATGCTTGTCACAAGCCATATTAGCATTAGATGCTGTATGTGCACATTCAAGGATGATATTTGCACACCTCTGAGCACAGAAGCTAAAACAGCCCGTCTATCTCCAGCTTAATGACCTAGGCAGAACCTTCAGTCGCATCCAGGGATGGCATAGCAGGACTTCCTTGAAAACCTTGGTGTGCAAATTGGAGTCTGGCACCACGAGCGTGCCTCACTGGAGCAAATTCTTTCCCCTGCTGATATTAGAGAGTTATATGGTCCCCAGTTTATAATCTAGATTATATTAAGAACCCAAAGTGGAAACGATTAGCGTTATTTTACTTTAGAAAGTTTGTGGGGGGATTTGTCAAAGTCATCTCACATTGTCAGTCCTATCATGTCTGTTCCCAGGGATGCCAACTTGACTAAAATGTTTTTCTTGGTGTGGGGGATGGGGGCGGTAAGCCCCAACCCACACAATCAATCACATGACATGGTGCACACACCCCATTTGAATGGCAGTGCCCATCAATTTCAGGGAGGGCTGGCCCACTCAAATATTTTATTGGGAGGGCCAAAGGGACCTTAGCCCCTAGGAGTTGGCTCCTATGTCTGTTCCTTTCACCTGCTTTAGTCCCTATTGAGATGGGGAGATTGATGCCTGAATGTTTCAGCAAAACTTTTTCAAAGCACTGCCCCTAGTGGTGGCCCCTCTTTATTCCTATTATCAGTAGGCTATATAGAAAAATGCTGCTGACAGTATCTTCACTAGAGGGGGAGGAGTGTAAAAAATGTGTGGCCCAAAGGGAAAAAAGATGGAACTGAGCATGCTCTAGGCCTGTGCTTTATGGAAATGTTTCCAAGGTGGATATCAGACTGAGAACTATGTAAAAAGAAACCCAGAAATAAACCATTTATTGTTTCATCTTACTGGTGTAGTCTGAACACTATAGGGGAACTTAAACTTGGGCTCCATTTCAGGCAGCAAAATGTCTTGGGCCAGCACTGCATCTACATGTCATTCTAAATTATGATTAACAAGAAGGATTTTCCCCGATCCATAAGATTGGACCCTGCTATTCCTAATTCCTCTTTTGACCTTGTTTTTACCTTTTTGATAACGTTGCTTTACTGTTTTTATTAAAACCTTTTACTGCCTTTTGTGTTATTTTTGTAGCCTGCCTATTATTGTTTTTTTTTAAAAAAAAAATGCTTTTAAATTAAACAAACAAGGGGAATAATGGGAAATCTAGCAGACAGGAAGAGGGAATTGAGAATATGTAAATATCCTAAAGGCTGGCTGTATTTTGTGTTTTTTATATTGTAATTTATGTTGTGAACTGCCCTGAGATCTACAGATGAAGGGAATAATATTAATAATAATAATAATAATAATAATAATAATAATAATAATAATATAATGGTAATTTGTGAGGAATTGTGCTACATAGGCTGGACATGTCTTGACATTGTCTTGCGAAGCCCTTCCTTTTTTCCTTTTCTCTCAGGGAAAAGAGAGAGAGAGGCCATGTGCCACTTTAGAGCTGAAGTGTAAAATAGTGCAAAACCTGGCAGCTTGTCTGTCATATTGAGTCACTTGTGCCTTTACAAAAAGAAAAAAGAAAAAGTTATAGACAGCAACTGTAAGATGGCAGTGGAATATTTTCCCTGTTGTGGCTTGGAAGCCTTTACAACTTTACTGAAGGTGCTACAAAAAAACTGTTAATGGTGTGACCCAGGGGTCAGCAATTTTTTTCAGCAGGGGGCCGGTCCACTGTCCCTCAGATCTTGTGGGGAGCCAGACTATATTTTTGGGGGGGAAATGAACGAATTCCTATGCCCCACAAATAAGCCAGAGATGCATTTTAAATAAAAGCACACATTGTACTCATGTAAAAACACCAGGCAGGTCCCACAAATAACCCAGAGAGGCATTTTAAATAAAAGGGCACATTCTACTCATGTAAAAACACACTGTTTCCTGGACCATCTGCGGGCTGGATTTAGAAGGCGATTGGGCCGGATCCGGCCCCCGGGCCTTAGTTTGCCTACCCATGGTGTGGCCTGTCGCTACACTGCAACATGATATATACAAGAAGACAAAGGACCATTTCAAAACATTTCCTCCTCTTTGCTGCCCTCTCTCCTCTTTTACATATATTTCAGAGCTAGGTGATTACTAACATTTGAAAAGGTTCCGGGGATAATTAACCCCTGCCTTGTGCCAGTTTTAACACTACATTGAACCGTTGTTAGAGTCAAATGGTTCGCTGGATTAATGAATGCACCAAGAAGAATACATTTCTAGTGTAAAGTACAAGCTCTAAGCATCAATCAATACTATGCACCCTTACCAGGGATTCCCACCGAACTTACTTTTGAGTAGATGAGCAGAGGTTTATTTTAAATTCATTGGATCTACTTCTGAGTCGACTCACATAAGAACATACTGCACATTGAAGACATTTTCATGTTAAAAAATGGCTAAAGCATGGTTCATCTTTTTATAGTAATTTTTTTAAAAAAATGCCTACAGACAATAGGCCCTTGTGGTCCTCCAGATGTATGGTTTCTGTTCACAAGCGATATAGACTGTGATGTACCCAGAAGCCAAGCTATAGCTCTTGATAGTTGCTTGTCACTACCAGGTGTTATGTACTGAAGTTCTCACCCTGGGCCAGCAGGGGGATACTGTAGATAGTTTTCACTCAGGTCCACATATGCAAATAAGGGATCGAAAGTGACGTTCAGTGATTGGATAGTTAGAGAAAATGGTTACTGTTGCGTTGTACTGGAGCTCTATATAAGCAGGCTGGCTGAACCCTTCAGTTCAGTTCTGTTCTGGCCTGTGAATAAACAAGAGCTGTTTGAAGAATCGCTGTGTCGTCTGATATGTTCACCCACAACTTAACACCAGGGATTTCACACTGCCCTGTGGAGTTTCCTGTCTGCAGAGCTCCTGCTGCACATCCAGGGGATTCATAGTGCCAAATGGCTCTAGATCAGTGGTATTTCAGTTAAGGCAAAAATGGCAATGTGTGTGAAGTTTCAGCCAACTTCAGCATGACAACATTTTTCTCATGGTTTCTTTTCAGAGACCATACATTGCAGTCTCTTTCTCACAAACACACTTTTTGCAAAATAATTAAAAAAAAAAAAATTAAACTCTCTTGCATTCTGAGTTATCTCAGGAAAAGGCAACCGCTGCCCAGCCTGGTCCATTGGTGCTATTACTGGGGGGGTGGGGGTGGGAATGGTGCAAATTGAATTGCAGAGATGCAATTTCTGATTGAGGTGACATGAATTGAAATGGTCAGATACAAGCAAAGCATTATATAAACTCTGTGCAAGTTTTGATAGAGGGAAAATAAAATAATGCTAGGACCTGCAGCTTCTAGCAAAATTCTTTTGACATTCTGTAGATGTTAGAGCAATGTTCTCCTTGACACCAGTAGGAGCTATATGCCTGAGGACAATATATGGTCCTCATCTTCTGGAACATGATAACAATTGAGACAACTGCCAGAATCTGAACTTTTGTTTGGATTTTAACATGCTCTAGCATGCCACATCAAAAGCATTTCTCATGGCAATAGGCAATGCAGCCATAAACTGTAATACAGAAAAACATAAACTGTGCAAGTCACCACGCTGCAATTCTTAGCTTTGATTTGTTCCCACCATCTCTCACCATTCAGTTACTTTCAGCTGACTCATCTTTTCCATTCTGAGCAAGTCTTCACTGTGCTGTGTGGAGGGCCTGCTAAACATCTGAAAAATATTTGCCAAAAGTGTTTCCCTCCCAGGTTTTTATTGTGAGATAAATAAAGAGCATTGCTTTTTTTTTGTCCTTTACTTATCATTTAAAGGAAAAAAATAGCAGCCTCTGACAACTTGTTTCTTTCTCAAGCAGATATTATTTTAAATTTCCGAACAACGTACGTCAGCAAGTCTGGCCAAGTAATATTTGAAGCGAGATCTATTTGTATCCACTATGTGACTACCTGGTTCATCATTGATTTAATTGCTGCCCTTCCTTTTGACCTGCTTTATGCTTTTAATGTCAATGTGGTGAGTATGGCCTTTCTATCCCATTTTATCTCTGCTGTTCTCAAGTGTCCCTTTTGTGAATGAAAATATTGCTCTTTGCAGGCAAAAGAAAAGCACAGGGCCAGTGTGTGTGTACTGTACCCTCGAGTGCAGCTTTTTATCTCTTCCAAGTACATGAAGTGTTTTGTCTTGAAGTGCTGAAGAAGCAGTTGTGGAAAAAATGTAGCAGTTAAAGCAAAACCTTAGGTATCAAACTAAAGGGAATCCTCTGGACCTATAAAGTCTGCTGTACTTCATGCATATGTAGTCTTTTTTCCTTTTTTCTTTTTTCAAGGTTCTCCATGTTCAGCGGGACGCGGGTGGCACTGTGGGTTAAACCACAGAGCCTATTACTTGCTGATCAGAAGGTTGGGGGTTCGAATCCCCGCGACGGGGTGAGCTCCCGTTGCTCAGTCCCAGCTCCTGCCCACCTAGCAGTTCGAAAGCACATCAAGTGCAAGTAGATAAATAGGTACCGCTCCGGCGGGAAGGTAAACGGTGTTTCCGTGCACTGCTCTGGTTTGCAATAAGCGGCTTAGTCATGCTGGCCACATGACCCGGAAGCTGTACGCCGGTTCCCTCGGCCAGTAAAGCAAGATGAGTGCCACAACCCCAGAGTCGGTCACAACTGGACCTGATGGTCAGGGGTCCCTTTACCTTACTATGTTCAGAGAAACCCTTCCAAAACAAAAATGTCTAAGGGGAATTTGGGCCAATCTTCTACACCCACACAGATGTGGAATCTGTGGTCCCCTAACTCTGATCTACAACTTCCTTCATCCTTCCTGCTGGTAGAAGCTGGAGTTCAAGTACATTAAAGATGGGGAGGGGTGTCACAGGTCCTGCCCTGCCCTGAGTTATGTAAGCCAAGTAGAAATACTGGGGGGGGGGGGGATATTGCTTTTAAAAAATACCGTATTTTTCCATGTATAACACACCACCATGTATAAGACTCAAATTATTTTGGGGACTCAAATTTAAGAAAATGGGGGGAGATGACCCAGAGTTGTTGAGCTCTTTTTTTGGGGGGGGGGATGCCGAAAATAACTAACCAGATTTAAAAACGCTGACCACTAACAATTGCTTGCATCTCAGAGCAGCAGCCGGAAATCAAACGCCCAATTGCCGCAGTGACAGCCAATTCAGCAACCTATCACCCAACCAATTTGTGCAGCAGCAGAAAATCCAAAGCAGAACTTTTAGCAGCCAACTCTCACATACCAAATCACCACTGACAAGCTCCTGCTTGCAGTGGCAACCAATCACCCATCACCCACATTCACTATCCGTGTATAAGACGAGGCACGTTTTTAACATTATTTTACGGTAAAAAAAAACCCTCGTCTTATACACAGAAAAGTACAGTAGTTGAAAATGCTTATGAGATCAAATGTGCTACCCATTATTTTTGGGGTAATGGAATTACTGGAACATATTCATGGCAACTAACTTAAGAATTAATAATTTTTATTATACACACAAACATACAGAGTTAACTTTCTTGTATTAGTTATCCCCACCCCAAGAGATGTTGGGAAGTTGATGTAAGCTTGTGAAGGCTCCAAGGTTCATCAGCATTTTGGGGGGTGGGGTGGGACTTTGGGGTGGGAGAGTCAGTTCAGTCAAAACCCATTAAGCCACAATCTTGATATGCATCTGAACATTCACTAGTCTGTGCAAAAAAACCCATTCAGGAAGTTATTTACCCACACTAATTTTTAAACATTTTCATATTTTGCCTCTAACACGCCCCCCAATTAATTTAGGCTGTAATGTACATTGACTTTTTAATAATATGCTATGTTTTACTGAAAAGCAGGATACTTGCATAGTTCCTACGTGATGTTGACTCAGTTCTGCAAACCAGTAGATTAGGGGGAATTCAAGTTTTTCTTCTTTAATGCCTTAATACTCTCCTGTCTCTAAAGATCTTTATGCACAATGCAATGACGTTGATTTACTCAGAAAATTATTCTGCCTTAGGCGGCCATGAATGTCCTGCACATGCATTAAGAGTTTCATAAATCCAGATTTTACTTTGGGGGGGGGGAATTATTTGGAGATACAGATGAAAGCCTTGTGAATTGTTAGATTGTTATTTAATTGACAGTCTTATATGTAAAGGAGTCAGCAAATGCTGATAGAGACTTCTTTATTTTTAATTATGATTGTGACGTGAAGGATTTCTAAGCATCTAACAGAATACTTCCTTAGCAATAATTAGCACAGGGGATGTACTTTCATTTGGTGTTTTTTTTAGAGCAGAGGCTGGAGAAGACTATACAGCCTTCTGACAGCATGCAGTTAGGATGAAGTCTGAAATTTCAAAAGCATTGAGATACCTAAGAGCACACAAGGTCTGCTTACTTTGGTATAGTGGCTAAACTGATCTCTACCCATGGAGAGGTCAGCACTCCTTCTCTCTTACAAGGCTAGGTAGCTATAAATTCTTCCTTTTAGATTCTGCTTTCCGTGAGTTCAAAAGCACGCAAGTTCTGATCACAAGAAGAGCTAGGATCATTTTATATAATTAGTACATTGTGCTTTTGTGGATATCTAGGGTGAAGCTGGAAATTCTCTAGTGGAGCAGTGGAAAACCTCGACCCAGGCAGCCCTGTATCGGGAAGTTTTTTATGCTTGGTGTTTTGCTGTGGTTTTTTAATATTTTGTTGGAAGCCACCCAAAGTGGTTGGGACAACCCAATCAGATGGGTGAGAGATAAGTAATAAGTTGTTGTTGGGTGAGGTATAATCCCTGTTCTGGGCCCAATAAGCACAGGATGCCCTTGCCCAGCGGCACTGTGGCCCATAGATAGATACTGGGCAAGTATCACTTGCCATGCCTTCTCCAGCCACTTTTTTAGTTTTAGCGTTGCGGTTTTTAGCAGTGCAGATTCTTTCAGTTGCTAGGAAAAGCTTAACCTTACTAGTCTAAATCAGTTAGCTATAAAGTGAAATTCGGGCTGGCTTTGCATAGGTGAGTAATCAAATTTAGCTAGGCACAGAGTAGGAGTGCTGACTCCTCATTTTGTCTTTCTAAGTTGTGAAAATACTGTATCTTCTGTATATGAATTTCAGATCTTACAGTGACAAACCGAACACTGCTAAAGGGGGAAAAAAACATTTGGAATGAGTAATGAGAAATAATTACACATGATTTATTACACTCATTTGCAAACCTATTATTATCACATAATTTAAAAAATTGGAGATTTAGTTTAATCCATCATAGAAAAATGTAATGTGAGCTCAAGTATATATAACTGATATAACTTCCCTTTAAAGGAGGCCCCTCCTTTCCGATAACTGTCTTCTCAGGGGCCGTTTTGCCTTGTACCTGGATTTAGTCTTCCCTCCCCAAACTTTTCCCTTTTGTAGTATGTTTTTTACATTACTGACCTGAAAGTAAAGCCCATTGAAGCCAGTGAGACTTAATGTATGATAGCGTTACACAACACCCCAATTTCTGATTGCGAGAAATTCCAGGGGCTCCAGGTAGGCTTACCCAGGGTCTGTATTTCCTTTTGGGGATGAAGTACAGCAGAGACTGTGGTGTCTTTATGATCATAGAATCATAGAATTATGGAGTTGGAAAGGACCACAAGTTTTATCTAGTCCAGCTCCCTGCAATGCAGGAATCGTTTTGCCCAATGTGGGGCTCGAACCCATGACCCTAAGATTAAGAGTCTCCTGCTCTACTGACTGAGCTACCTTTTAAAGTTGATACATGGTTTATTTACACATATGTACAACCTGGGCCTTTTGAATTATGGTGCTGGAGGAGACTCTTGAGAGTCCCATGGACTGCAAGAAGATGAAACCTATCCATTCTTAAGGAAATAAGCCCTGAGTGCTCACTGGAAGGACAGATCCTGAAGCTTGAGGCTCCAATACTTTGGCCACCTCATGAGAAGAGAAGACTCCCTGGAAAAGACCCTGAAGCTGGGAAAGATGGAGGGCACAAGGAGAAGGGGATGACAGAGGACGAGATGGTTGGATAGTGTTTTCTAGCTCTAGCTTCTCTCAGCTGTGGCTTTATCTTCAAACTAACTTGGAGCTGAGGGAGGGGCCACAACCACAGAGTTCCTTTGATGCTTTGTCATTTTAATGGCTTTGTCACCTCGTGCAGAAAGCTTAGCCTAGCCTAAGTAGTGCCCAACACTTGACTTAATTAAAGGATTAGCTGGGTCTACCACAACTTAATACCACAACTTAATACACACAGTTTGGGCTTAATACACGCTGGCTTAATGCATATGGGTCTGTCATCCAGTCTTAACACTCCAAGCACTGATGAAATTCTAACACCTAATGGACTCAGGAATTTAGGGTGCCTAGCACCCACAAACTCATAACACTAATATACATAGGTTTACACTGCTAGGATGTAAGCCTGAGGGCAAAATTTAGGTTCCTATTATTATTATTATTATTATTATATAACTAGAAGCATTTCAGGTTTTCCATACCTGACTATGTAACTCACCTTCATGCATTCACCAGGGATGTGCATGGGCACCAAGGTCCATCTTGTATGTGCAACTGTGCATTTTTAAAAATTCTGATCTGTTTCTGAGTCACTCTGTTCTCCCACACTTCGGTCTGTTCCAAGGTTTTCTGTCTAAAATGGACCTCTGTGTTCCTCATTCACTATAATGGGAAACTAAAAATGGCTGTAAAATTTTCCCCTTTTGTCCAATGTGGGTAAATTAACAGGCACATAAGCCTCTCCAGAGTGGATTTAGCCTGCCAAATTGCAGACAAATAGGTCCAGGGGCTTTTTGTGGGGAAGGAAGGGGGATTCACTTTCTAGAGGTGTTGGAGTGGTGTACATTCTTGCTTATACATTACAAAAAACAGTAGACTGGCCTTTCCTTTCTGGTGCTTGTGTCCTGCAATAGGCTCACAAAATGAGGCTAACAAAAATGTTGAGTTCTGAAGAGCTCTGGGATTTGTTTTCGTTTGGTTAAAACACAGTGGCATAGGGTTTTTTTAAAATAAATTAAACGGAACATTTAACTTTTGAAGAAACCTTATGTTGCTTAAAAAAATAAAGAAAAGAAAATCCACCTAGAACTCTTTAAGGCTCTGCATGTAATATTTTGGATAGCCTCACATCTTGCAAAGTACATGGGCCTAGTAGAAAAGAGAGAGATATAGAAAAAATATAGAGTTGTAAGGTCAGAAAAGTATAGAAATGAGACAGTAACCTGAAGCACTTTCCTGTATGGAAAGACGGCTGAATATTACTTTCCCCTCTCACCCTTTCAGGTGTCCATCGTTCACCTTCTCAAGACTGTACGATTGCTGCGTCTTTTACGTCTTCTTCAGAAGTTGGATCGCTATTCCCAGCACAGCACTATAGTTCTGACACTTCTTATGTCTATGTTTGCGTTGTTAGCTCATTGGATGGCTTGCATTTGGTATGTCATTGGAAAGAAGGAGATGGAAAAAAAACCATTCACTTGGGACATAGGTACATGCTTTATTTCCCCTCACAGACTGAAAAGTTATACTTTAACATCGAAATGTTGCAACTTAAGGGGAGGAGGGCACAAAAATTGATTTGGTATGATGTAAACTTCTGGCTTCTACGATCTTCTTTTTAACCCATTGGACTACAGAGTGAGGGCAGGAAAATGTTGCCTCACTCTGAATTAGTTTCATGCAACATTTCCCAAAACCAAATGAGAGTGATGGCAATACTTATTGCCTCACCCTAGTGTATTGTGTGTTTGATTGATTGATTGATTGATTGATTGATTGATTAAAATAAAGGTTTTGAGTATAAAATAACGACACTGACATCAGCCAACCACCAGTAAGACTACAAAAACTTGCAGATCATTTGTAATTTAAATATATTGTATATGTTTAAACTGAATTTATTAAGGACATATTCTTTTCTTATAAGGAGATTTATAAGAACTGTGGCACAGTCTTCTCAAATTTGAGAAGTTTTCAGCCCCATTGTTTTCCCTTTAAACCATTTCTCAGAGCTTCTCATCAGGTTAATTCTTCCTCTGGCAATGAGAACTTAACTCCATTGACCAAGGACTCTGTGCATTACCTCTAGGAACTTAAAAAAAGCAACAGCATTTTAACCAAATGTGCAGGATTGGTGACCAGTAAAAAAGAAAAGAAAAAAGGAATCTCCTGAAAATCCATGCATTTCAGTTCTTTGCTTGCAAAAGTATAGCTACTGGTTTTATATATACAGTATATATATCTCTCTAGACTTGTACTTCCTTTGGAGAAAATGAAATTAATTTTGAGTTGACAGTGCTTTTGGTTACCTGATTCTTTAATATTTTCAACACCAATTTTAGGTCCTGATTTTCTATGGATTTAGGGCGGATCATAATAATATTTAAAAATTCTTTATAGTTTAGAGAGGTCTGTTATGAAAGAGATTCCCTCTGAGTTCTTAGGCGTATATGTAAGTGCTATTTAGAACTGTGCAGACAATAAGCAGATTACTCTGAAAATCTTCTTGGCTGCAAAATGTATTCTATATTTTGGAACTTCATGATCTTGTAGAACTGGACAGCCGTGGATAGCAGGTTAATAGGAGGCCAAAAAGTCAAGATGCGTCTTTCTTGAGTTCATCAAAGCTGCCATAAATTATTTGTGCAACAGTCTTGAATAAATCTCCCACCTGTCAGCTATAATTTCAACAGCTCTTAAAAGAGAAAGAAAAACCAATTCAGAACTGTTTTGTGTATAATGGTTAAAGGAAATGACTTACCTTAAGCAGTAAACTAATTCCATTTACTTTGAATAAGCCTACTTTTGTCTTCTCCAGTCGCTGAAATGTCTGCTTTTTACACTTACTCACCAAAGTGCATTGCTTTATGGTTTATTTTTGTGCTTGAAGGGAGGTCATATTACATGTGCCACCTTCAGTATGTTTGAACCAGTAAGTGGTGGAACTTGGGAGTTTACTGACCTTTGGTCCCATGCTTCTATTTTAACGGTGCAGTACTAATTGTACAAAGTTTATTGTTGCATACCTGTGTTCCATCAGCATCCTCAAGACAGCCACTAGGCTAAAATCTTTTCCATGATCATTATCGTCACATACATCATATTCTGAGAATACTGACAGAAAGATTTTAATGGTTGGGAAGCTTTCCCGGGCTGATGCTAGTGGAATCTGAAGCATTCATCATTCTCTTCATTAGTGCTTCTGCGGTCACCAGAAATTCTTGTCAGCAGCTCTGGGTATGCATTTTGAATATATCCTTGAGGGCATATATCTACCTCGGTTAAAATTCAAGTTATGAGTTTTTTCCTTCCTCAGAAACAAATTACATTATTTAGGTGTAACTAACAAAGGTGTAACTAAAGCTGTCAGTCTTTAAATCTGGAGTTATAATTCCAGTCTGCAAATCTGGTACATCTGAATGTTTGCAAATTAAGCTGACTTTGGATCACTTCTGATATTACTTTCTCAAGATACAGGTACATGCAACACCTTTAGTTTTTTGCATGTGTGGCTTTTTTGGTGGGGGGAAACAGAAGCACAATTTGCTCTTGCTGTATTGTTGCATATAGATGTGCCCATCTGTCTCTTAGGGCTGGTTTCTCAGGTTTAGAAAATGAATGCTGTACAATCCTTCTGTGTTGCTGTTTAGTTCAAGGATAGTGTTGCATGGTTTGATGGTCCTTCATGTCAAAATTCCCTGCCTGTGAAGACTTGGCACACAAAAGAGAGAGATTTGTGCCTAGTCTTCTTACCAATGTGCTCATTTTCATGTCTAGGGAGCTTATGATGCAAGAGGACTTCCCATCCACTTTCTGAATGGGGCAAAGTTCCAGGAGAGCTGTTTCACACCATGTAAACAAGGGTCTAAGCTATTGGGTGAAGTTTTCCAGAGATCAGAGGGCAGGGTTGGTGTCTGGACCAAGATTTCAGTACAGGCATATTTGCACTCAGGCACCTTCTTGATCGCTGAGCATTTGCAGTTACGCTGATTGCCTTGCTTGACTGCATTTTCATGTAGGGTTTTCTTAAACATCAAAACCATCTTTTGCCATTTGTGAGTACAGTGGTACCTCTGGTTGCGAACGGGATCCGTTCCGGAGCCCCGTTCACAACATGAGCAGAACGCAACCTGCGTCTGCGCGTGCACGGGCCGCGATTTGCTGCTTCTGCGCATGCGTGTGATGCCATTTTGAGCGTCTGCGCAAGCGCAAGCGGTGAAACCCGGAAGTAACCCTTTCCGGTACTTCCGGGTCACCGCAGGATGCAACCTGAAAAGATTTAACCTGAAGCAAACGTAACAAGAGGTATGACTGTATTATTGATGAGGAATTTATATTATAATATATAGGATTTATACTTTAGGAAAGTTATGTGACATCAGAGTGAATTAGGCATCAGTCTGGGAATTTCAAGGCAACCACTGTTTTGAGTCATGGAGGAAGATTTTAGTGAAGCAGTACAGGAGTTCATGGGACTGTTCCTCCTGGAGCTGGTTAGACATAAGTAGAGCCTGCTAGTTCAGGCCAATGCCTACCTGCATAATATTTTATTTATAAAACACCTACAGTTACTGGATGCTGTAAAATTTTTAAAAATGACAATTCTCAGCTCACATGTAACCAATATAATTGGAGTGGCAAGGGAACAGGCATGAAAAGGGGAGGTGGAAGGCAGTATGAAACAATAGATTCTGAATTTTTTTAAGCATCGTAAGAGTTTGCAGAAGAAAATGCTGTTCAGAATTAATAGTTTCCCATAAGCTTTTTAAAGGATAGATACTAAGAAGCAGCGGGTTCCAAATGTAGGGACAAACCTGAACAGCTGGTAAGTAATAGCACAAAGGAAAACAGAAGCCTTGCAGAAGATGAGGAACTTCATATAGTATGGCTTGAAGCTGGCTTGTTTTTTAATAACCATAGTTACGGCAAAGCACAGTTTGTCTGGTGTTGAATGTCACAGCAAGCTGTGGTTAGTTTAAAATGGAAGGGAAAAGCTTCAGCTTCAGAGAGCCAGTGTGGTGTAGTGGTTAAGAGCGGTGGACTCATAATCTGGTGAACTGGGTTCGCGTCTCTGCTCCTCCACATGCAGCTGCTGGGTGACCTTGGGCCAGTCACACTTCTCTGAAGTCTCTCAGCCCCACTCACCTCACAGAGTGTTTGTTGTGGGGGAGGAAGGGAAAGGAGAATGTTAGCCGCTTTGAGACTCCTTCGGGTAGTGATAAAGCGGGATATCAAATCCAAAACTACTACTACTCCTCTCCTCCTCCTCCTCCTCCTCCTCCTCCTCCTCCTCCTCCTCTTCTTCTTCTTCTTCTTCTTCTTCTTCAGTTCTCACACCTAAACAGGAAGAAAGGGGAAAGGGGAGGAGAAGTTTACATCCTCTAGTCTGACTGTGGCTTGTCCACATCACACCAGAGACAAAGCTAGGGGTTGGCAAAACTGGCCCCTACTGGGGGCCCAGGCCCAGGAGGGGCACAAAACTCACCTATCAAACTATGGAGTGTATGTTGTATGGAATGTATGGCGCCGCAGCACTGCTATCACAGCAAGATCAAACACGGGAGAAGCTTCCCATCCTTCTTGCACCGCAGCACAAAGGTGTTTGGTATTGCAGTAAAGTGATTTTTCGGTCTGTGCTGATACAGTGGTACCTCAGGTTACATACGCTTCAGGTTACAGACTCCGCTAACCCAGAAATAGTGCTTCGGGTTAAGAACTTTGCTTCAGGATGAGAACAGAAATCGTGCTCCGGCGGCGCGGCGGCAGCGGGAGGCCCCATTAGCTAAAGTGGTGCTTCAGGTTAAGAACAGTTTCAGGTTAAGAACGGTCCTCCGGAACAAATTAAGTACTTTACCTGAGGTGTACCACTGTATAGCTCCTTGCCAAGGGTGCAAGGGACCCTGGTATGCCTCTGCACCACACCGAACAGCCGTTCAGGCATAAATGTTGGACCAGCTTTTCAGTACCAGATAGATTCTACTTTATGGTCAATCGGAAATAAATGATGAGACTGCCTTTTCTTTACCTACGTAGCATTTCTTTTAAAAATGGTATTCAGCATGAATTAACGTTTTTAACTCACAAATGCCAGATGCAAAAAGCAGTTCTAAGCAAGCGAAAAATCGCATTTGGCTGTTTTCAACCCTTGGGCGATCTAGCTTGAAGACTCACGCCCCCATATAACTTTCGGAAATTGTCAGTGTTAAAAGGGATCGTGCTGATAGTTTGCCCAATATATTAATATTCCAAGTGCTGCTGAAGCCTGTTGGTCAGCTCCCTTGGCTAATGAGGCTGCAGGTGATATTTTCTGCTGTTTTTTAAAACCCATTTTGCATTGTAACTAGGGAACTGCGTGTTCTCTTTGGCAAACTAGCAGCAGGCTCTTTGGATAGCAACTGGAGAATCTTACGTGGAAACCTGTAGCTGACCTACTTCTAGCTTCCTTTCACTGTCACTGCTTCAGAGGAGGGCTGCCATACATTAGCAGAACTGGCACCCAGAATCACACTTTACCCAAAAGAGTAGAGCACAGCTGAGTTTTTCAGTACAAATGCTTGGCAGGTATCTGATCTTTCTCTCTGCCCTAGCTCAGTGTTTCTGTTCTCAATAATTTTAACAGGCACAGAAGTGGAAATTCTGTTCACATTTACCTGGAATAAGTTCCATTGGGCTCACTGGGGCTTACTTTTGAGTAGACATGAATAACAACAACAACAACAACAACAACAACAACAACAATAATTTATTTATACCCTGCCCATCTGGCTGGGTTTCCCCAGCCACCCTGGGCAGCTCCCAACAGAATATTAAAAACACAATAAAATATCAAACATTAAAAAATTCCCAATACAGTGTTACCTTCAGGTGTCTTCTAAAAATCAGATAGTTGGGAGGGTGTTCTACAGGGTGGGCGCCACTACCGAGAAGGCCCTCTGCCTGGTTCCCTGTCACCTCACTTCTTGCAGTGAGGGAACCACCAGAAGGCCCTCGGTGGCTGGGGAAACCCAGCCAGATGGGCAGGGTATAAATTATTATTATTATTATTATTATTATTATTATGCTTGTGCCAGTGGACCATCTTTCCATAGACTTAAAAAAATATTTCCCATCTTTCCATAGACTTAAAAAAATAAATCTCATCCCATTGGTCTAAATGGGAGAAAAAGGAATACACCAGCCCAAGAGCAGGGTAACCCTCTCCCTTCCCACATTCTGGGGAAATGGTAAGGTTTTAGATCCCATAGATCCACAGCGCCATTGATCCACACCTGACATGCCCCTGTTTCCCCCTCTTTGTTGTGGAAACACTGACAGCAGAGAATAATTCTGGGAGTTGACTTTCCTCTTTGAGGGCATAGCTCCCTCTTCATCCACAGAAAGAGCTCGACCAAATCCTATGAGACACCCTTCCAGGGGCCATAGGATTGGTTCATCACCATTATCCTGATTTATAGGCAAGACACATCTTCATTCTTATTTATGGGCATAGCCTCCATAAGGCACCTTGCATAGTCATTAAATAAAATACATTTAAATATGAGAAAATCAGCATAGGAAAACAGCATGAAATTTTAAAACAGGTCAGTCAATTAAAAATATAAATGGATTAGGCAGCAAAATATAAGCCAGCAAAGTAAATTAGCAGTATTGGTCTAGATGCAGATTGACATGCTGATCTACTACATCAGTGAGAACAAGGACTAAGTTTTACTTGTTTGCGAATAAATGCTTTAAGACAGTTGCAGTGTACCATAAAGGCCGAGTATCCAAAATAAAACGATGCATTGTTTGAAAAGAAAAAAATAGAAACTCATTATTTTTAAGCTAATCACAATATCCCGAAGAAATCTGACATGGTTTTTGACGTTCTGGGAAAAGCAACCCTGATGTTTTGCAAATAGTAACAAGGGGAAAGACCAATTAAATTGATGGCAGTTTTTGACAGCAGGAGTTAATAGTGCTACAGGCTGGTACAGTGCTACTTCCATGGAAAATGCAGTCTAGTGGTGGCAGACCCAAGTTTCTTCCAGGTCAAAAAGGTAAAGGGGCCCCTGACCATTAAGTCCAGTCACGGACGGCTCTGGGGTTGTGGCGCTCATCTCGCTCTATAGGCCAAGGGAGCCGACGTTTGTCCACAGACAGTTTTTCCGGGTCATGTGGCCAGCATGACTAAGCCACTTCTGGCGAACCAGAGCAGTGCACAGAAACACTGTTTACCTTCCTGCTGGAGCAGTACCTATTTATCTGCTTGCACTTTGACATGCTTTCGAACTGCTAGGTTAGCAGGAACTAGGACCAAACAATGGGAGCTCACCCTGTCGCGAGGATACGAACAGCGAGGATACGAACCGCCAACCTTCTGATCGGCAAGCCCTAGGCTCTGTGGTTTAGACCACAGCGCCACCTGCCACCCAGGTAGTCGCTAGTTATTTTGACCCTAAACTGTCTGCTTAAACAGAGGATTCTCTGCTAGCGCTATATTTTAAGTGGCCAGTTGATACACAGGCAGATTTATTGCAAATTTATTTTGGGATCTTTGTGTTTCAGCACTATAAATGTGTAACTATCTTGTGTTTATTAGATAAAGCTCAAAGAAGGGGCTGCAATTCAAGACCTACTTACTCGTGACTATGATCCCATTGAACACCATGAGACTTATTTCCAAGCACACATGTGCAGAATCACTTGGTGTGTTGTGGAGTCTTTTATATGGTTTGCGGTAATTTGTAGAAAGTGTGTTCTCCCTCATGGAGAGCACAGGTTGCGGGCGGGGCTGACAAGACACCTCACTGTTACTAGGCAAATGGTTTGGCCATCCTTTAAATAGGGGCGGGCTGTTACTGGGGAAATCTAGATGTTGCCATTTGTTGATTGACAGCCCTATTTGTTAAATACTATGCTTGCAGCGAGGAACTTCCTCTTTTCACAGCTTACTTCGGATCACCCGCCCTCCCTTCCCTAATTTTAGGCTATTTTCTTGACCTTGCTATGCCTGTCATGGGGTCGTCTGCTTTGGGGCAGGGGCCTGGTAGGAATTTTGTCCATTTGGCTGATTAGTGTGTGCCACTTGGTTTTTGCCTACTGCGTAGCAAATCGTCACAACTTGTAAGGTTTGCGGTTAGGCATTGGTCTTGGAATTGGTTGGTGGAGGGGTATGGATTCGGCTGTGCCTGCCCCTCCAAAATGCTGCTGATGCTGCTTCAAGGGTTTTCCGTTAAAGGAACCCAGGGGCTCCCCATGCTTTTGTCCGAAACCCCCTGGCAAGGGGCTAGGGCCACACAAGCCCCTGGGAGCATTCTGGGGAGAGGTGAGGCATGGTTCCCAGTCCCGTCTCTCTCCCCAGGTGACTTACCCTTGCTGACTTCGCAAGGAGTGCGAATGTCAGAGCTGTCCCCGTGCAGGGTCAGTTAGTGCTACCAATGCCTAAGCAACCACTCACATTGCTGTAATTTGAATAAAGTTGTGGCCAAAATTATGCCAAAAACCTTAAACAAAAATTAAGTGTCAATTGTGTTTTTCTTTGGGGGGGTGTCTTGGGGACCTCGACGCGCAAATAAGTAGAGAGGTTGTGCATGTTTGAATGTTCCCCTTTGACGGACAGGTTTTGCTTTTAATCACAGTGACTTATTTTATGAGGCTGCTCCAATCGTAGAATGATGGGGGGGATAATTAAGTAAATAAACAGGATTCTTCTCATGGGTCTTCATTCTCCTCTTTGTGGGACACGGGGGGCGCTGTGGTCTAAACCACCAAGCCTCTTGGGCTTGCTGATCGTAAGGTCAGCAGTTTGAATCTGCACGACGGGGTGAGCTCCCATTGCTATGTCCCTGCTCCTGCTAACCTAGCAGTTTGAAAACACCAGTGTGAGTAGATAAATAGGTATCGCTGAGGCGGGAAGGTAAACAGCATTTCTGTGTGATCTGGCATTCATCACGGTGTTCCGTTGTGCCAGAAGCAGTTGAGTCATGCTGGTCACATGACCTGGAAAAGCTGTCTGTGGACAAACGCTGGCTCCCACTGCCTGAAAGTGAGATGAGTGCTGCAACCCCATAGTTTAATTTGATTAGACTTAACCTTCCAGTGGTCCTTTACCTTTACCTTTCATTCTCCTCTGAGTTTTGACTGTAAGAGAAGCGTTCAGGTTAGACTATTGGGGCGGCCATATTCTTTCCTAATCATTCTTTTTCCTAACAGATAATCAGAAATCATAGGTGACTCTCTCAGTGTCTCTATGCTTCATGGTGGAAGGAGTCATGTTTTTTCTGTGTTGTTCCCTCAAGAGTTTTGGAACATCATCATGTCTGATCTCTCCCTGGGGGAATTTTGTTGTATTTGTATTCACATCATGCAGCAGCAAGGAGCCCCACAAACTAGCCAGCCCAGGATGTGGGTGGTTTGATGCCCTACTTTGATTTTTTTTAATTAAAAAACAGTTTTAAAGTAATGAAGCAGCTCACAATTCTTGGACACCTAGTAAAGGGATTCTCCAGAGTGCAGACTCTGAAGTGGACTCATGATAATATTCGTGTCATGATCCACCCAAATCTAATCAGGCGAGTTTGCTTTGGAATTTTTCTAAGATGCCTTCCCCATTGCTCAGCATCCTTCAAATGTCCAAGCTAATATTCTGTGATCATTGCACAAACAGGAAAAGAAGACCTATTGGACCTTCTGCTCTATTACATGGTGGACCCAGCGACTAACAGTAGGATTACTGCACATTGGTTACTGCTGTTGTTTGTTTGCATCTTGTTGGGCCTAGCCTTCTTGTGCCATATATAAGTGGATGCATGCAGCAACACGTAGACAGATTGCGATTTAAGAACAGGGGAGGACTTGTAAAATGTGAGATATTTGTACTGCTGGCTGTAAATGCTACCGTCATCACCTATCCCAGCCTAGAAGCACATTTACATTTTCATCTAACACTGGAACTCTTCCCAGAAACGGTTAAACAAAACATGGTGTGAAATCATCCCTCTACCTACAATTCATTTTGGATGAAATTTCCGAAAGGTCATAATATGAGTCCAGTAATCCCCTTGATTTAGAGAAGCATTTGTGTACCCACCTTTCTTTTGTGCTTGTTGATTAATAACTGTACGCACTTTAATTACATTGCCATTTTGAAAAACCATCTGAGAAATGGAGTGAAATAACTTTAAGGTCTGGATACAAACCATGAAGGAAAACTGAGATTCAAGGAGGCCTCTCCTTCGTTTTAACGGCTCTAAAGTGGGACCTCCTCCCCTCCACCTTCGCAATTCAGGGTGTGCATGTCAGGTTTGCTTGCTGAGTTCCTGAAAAAAGAACACAGAGGACAAGGACCAGATGGGACAGTCTAAATGTGGTAGATGTGCTTAACACCTTCTCTGCCTGACACCAAATGCCCTGGAAATCTGAACGCTGATATCGTCCCCCACACTGACAAAGTTGAGGCGTCACCTTAAAACATACCAGTTTTGCTAGGCTTGTGGTGGCTAGATGTATATTAGAACAATGAGAGTTTTAGCACCAGCCATTGGATTTTAAAGGTTTTTATTAATCTGCTATAATTTTGACAATAATTTCATGATACCTGTGTTATATTGTAAGATTGTTATTAGCTGGGCCCAAGCTTCTCCAGAAGGAAGGTGTGGAACGAAAATAATAAATGGCATGATAATAATTAATTATAACCTGAGTAACCAGGGAAGTCTTGTTGTGTAAACCTCTTTGAGCCTAGACTTTCCTCTGAAGACATCCACAGTGAACACATGGATGTCTGGTGAAGAAGAAGCAGCATGGCATCTCTGTACTGTTAACTAGTAATAATATTAATAATAAGTTATTATTCATATGCTGCCCATCTGCCTGGGTTGCCCCAGCCACTCTGGGCAGCTTCCAACAAATTAAATCATCAAGCACAGTAAAACACCAGGTATTAAAAACTTCCCTGCCTTCAGATGTCTTCCAAAAATCAGATAGTTGACATCTGATGGGAGGCCATTCTACAAAGTGGGTGCCACTACTGAGAAGGCCCTCTGCCTGGTTCCCTGTAACCTCACTTCTCGCAATGAAGGAACCACCAGAAGGCCTCTTAGAGTTGGACCTCAGTGTCTGGGCTGGACGATGGGGGTGGAGATGAGGCCATTTAGGGTTTTGAATCATTCCAGAGACCAGTTCAAGGACATGCTCTGTCATTTATTCAATATGCCATCAAAGGGTCTTGCAGCTAGTGGTTTGGTTTCCTTCACTTCTAGTACTTTTATTACTCCAAATGTACTTTTATTACTCCAAAATGAACAATACAGTCTATTAGCTTATTTACAGACTGTTTTAATGAAAACCGAAGCCAATGGGTTCAGTACGAGGTAATAAATGTCAAGGAGTGCAGGAGAATATAGATGTAGTCTGTTCTGTTCCCTGGTCTCAAGGATCTGTTTGCTACACAATGACAATGCTGATTTTCCCTTTAGTCATTGCTCTTAGTCCTCTGTGGTTTGATAGGCCAGCACATAGCTCTCAGGAGTCTTTGGTGCCTTCAGTTGTCCTTGATAGAGGGTCACATGCCCTGTCTTGCTCCCATAGAAGTTTACATCGAGGCCAGAATTCAGCATTCTCAGGGTTTCTGTTCTTAATGTATTTCACACTTGATCAAACTATCATATGTAGTTAATAATGAGCTTTCAAAAAGTTAATAATGGGCTTTCAAAAAGTGTGAGGCATAGGACTTCTGGGTTAGCGCCTCTGGCAATGGCGGATTTCCTCTGATTGGGAGGAATCCGCTCCGTGAGAATTAGGGTCTGGACTGCCGCGGCGAGGCGGAGACCCACTAAAAACCACAGGCAGGAGAAGCCTGTGGACGTGGGATTCGGCTGGCACCTTTTGCGCCTCCCCTACTCGCGGGGAAACCCGGTTTCGGGGATCCGGAGCGACGTGGGGTGAATGGCACGGTGCTTCAAATCGACTGCTCTTTTCACGGAGTGAAGCCGCATTGCTGTTGCCGGAGAGCGCTGACTTTTTCCTGTGGACAATTGGATTTGAAACAACTGCCCGTGAGTAGAACGGAAAATTGGACTATGAAAATTTCTTAATTCTCACCGAAGCGGAAAGGTCTAAACAGGAAGTCCGCCTTCCGCTTTTGTAAATAGATTGAAGCAAAGACACGGCAAGCTAGAGTCTGGAAAGTCGTTTGTAAAGGATTAAATTTTCATCATTTAAAACTACTGAACCCCCCTTGGAAGTAGGAGAAGAGGGGGGAACCTTTTTTAGACTGTCTAAACCTGCAGAAGAGAGAGTAAAGAAAGGTAAATTTCCACCCTCTTGAACCTGGGAGCGGGGTGTCAGGACAGACATTTTTTAAAGAGGACAAAGATATTGTCAAGTTGGAGTCTCCCCGAGTGAAAGGAAGGAAATTAAGAATAAGATCAGCAGAAGACAAAGTAAAGTACAGGTATAAACATGAAGAAGACCTGTGGAAGGGACATGGAAAAGACTTAAGAGCCTCGGATACAAGGTCACCAGGTTGATGGACTAGATGGATGGGATAGAAAGGACTGACAAAACCCGAGACCAGGAAGAAGAGACGATGGATGAAGATTGGAAGAAAGTTTTAAAAATTTATTTAGAAAATTATCGTAAAATTAATGAGTATTAGAAAAATGTTGGAATGAAATTATTTGGCTTTAGCAGAAATGTTAAAAATAATTATGTAAGAATATGCTTTGGTTAAAAGAATTTGGTATAAATAAGATTTAAGTTTTAAGCTTTAGGGTTTTTTATGGTAAGATAAGGTTAAAATAGATTAAGGTAATTTAATGACAGAATATTGTGAAAGATGGAAAGGATTTGCTGAGATAATTAACAACTAGAATACAAAAAGGGAGGTGTGAGGAGGTCGATGAAATAAGTTAATGAAAGTTAAGGATTTGGGAATATTGGATTTGTTTTTAAATTTTTTGTTTATTTTTGCTTTTTGATTTTGATGTATTGTGTGTTTTGTTTTCTCTTTTTGATTTTGGTTTGTATTGATTTGTATTGTTTAATTGTTATTTTTATCTACCTTTTTATTTCTTTTTATTTCTTTTTCTCTTTCTCTTGATTTTTCCTTCCTTCTTTTCTCTTTGTAATTTTAAAATTCTCAATAAATATCATTTAAAAAAACAACAACAAAAAGTGTGAGGCATAGACAGGAATCAAGGCAAAGCTATTCTAAGGCAATATTAACACTATTTCTGTAATATTTACTTTCTAACTGTCATGTGGTACAGCTTGTTAACAAATTATGCATGTTTTGTTAGACAATAAGAACTCAACTACTGTATTTATCCTGATTTACAACAAGAAAATATACTCTCTGGTCATTTAAACTATTATGAGTTGTTTTATCACAAATTTACTGCCTGGTGTTTCAAATAGAAGAACTTCATTCACTTTGTAAAAGAAATATTGTAAGGAGCTTTCGCGAACAGAGTAATTGTAAAGAGCAGTGTTTTTAAACTCTAAAGCTTTCTGTCTTTCTATCTGTCACCTTGTGCTTAAATCAGCAAATTCAAGCTTTATGCCAGGTCAAAAATAGAAACCCCATGCAGGAAAATCCCACAAAGATTTGTTCGAAATAGGTCAGAATACCAAATTATGCTCCCATTGTGTGATACTCGGAATCTTAAAACTTCAAAACACAAAAAGGGAGCTACTCAGAAGAATCAAATTGCTCCCTAATAATGGCTCATGTTCTTAAAAGACCCCTTCGGTTTTTTGATTCCTTTTCATGCCTTTGCTTTCCTTTGCAATACCACCAACCACCTTAGCATTTAAGAACAGACCTAGAGAAAAAGAAATAATTACTTTTAGCAAAATTACTTTAAAAAAAGCAACTTCAGTGAAATGATGGGAGACTGTCTAGGAACTGCATGCATGCTGCTATGGGTTTCGCGATGAAAAAAAGGTGGGCTGTTAATGTACAAAATAAATAAATGCAGTGTGGCCTGAGGGACTGAGCTCTAGTCAGGTCATGCACAAGAAGATGCATACCTTCCAAGTGTCCCGATTTTCCAGGGACAGTGTTATGTACTAAGCTTGGATCCTAGAACAATAGGCAGGTAGGATCCTGGAATGCAACAACTGATTGGCCTGCAGGAGGAGACCAATCAGGCTCCAGGCGGGAAGCAGAATCAGCCAATCAGACAGGACTCATTGTGTAAATAATGTATATAAAGGCCTGAGGTTTGGGGAGGGAAATTCAATCACTGTTTTACAAGCTGCAATAAAGAGCATGAAATCACTGCAGGACTCTGAGTATATTTCAGACAGTCTCAGAATTACGAAAGCCATCCTGGCTTCTGATTTGATCCCAGAATGTCCCTATTTCCCCTGCCAGTGATGCCTCCGCCAAGCTTAGGGAGGAGGATGAAGTGGTGCTTACACTGAGCGTTGGTGGCAGTGGCTACAAGGGAGCATCCCATTGTCTCTCCATGGCTGCCGCTGCCCTGGAAAGAATTGTGCTGTGTTCCATTGGTTTAGTGGTGTTGGCGCCGCCCTTCCACTAGTAGAAAATGCTGGGGGGGGCAAAATGGGGGGGGGAGTCAATGAGGGCCAGTTGTCTGGGAATGATAACTCCAGCGGGGCCAGCAACAGAAACACAGAAGCCAAATGTCTCTATTTCCATCTGAGGAATGTTGGAGGTTATGGAAGATTGGGGAAATGATCTGGTAAGATGCAGGCCACATGTCAAATAACAACTCCCCCCCCCAAAAAAAATGCCTTCTGGATTTGAAAGTATTTCAGTTTTGAATGCTCTTTCCTGTAGACCCAAGCCCTGCAGATGGAACAGTAGAGCAGGGAGAAAGGTTCTATGCCAAATCTTTGGTTACTGTGCTGTTTAGTTTTTGACACAGAGGAGCAGTTAAGAATTTGACCATCTGCCTGCAGTCTGAAGTGCTACCATCCATTCTATGAGCAGAACGCTTGAACATTTCCACTGGAGAGGTGGGTTTTGATAGGGAGTTTGAAGGAAAAGTGGGATGTGCATGCACTTACCATTTTTGTAGTCAATCTGGAACATCCTACATCAGTACAGAGACTTGTCTCATGAGCCAAGGCAGTAGAATTATGTTTGTTTTTAAATGTGTCATCTTCATAGTAGAAATAATTCCTGTGTCCTTAGCTAGTATATCAGCCTGCAGGTGATTGGTAAGATATTTGAAAGTGGATGCACTTAACTGTTTTCAGAATCAAGTAGCAAACATCCTATCTTCTGGATTCAAGGTATTATGAAGCAGCAGAATGGTGGCTCTGTAGAGTTTGATCACAGGCTATGTTTCTTTGACTTCAGGTTGGCTTCATGAACTAGGAAAACGTTTGGAGTCTCCCTACCTTGGCAATAATACATCAGGAGGCCCATCCCTCAGAAGTGCCTATATTGCTGCCCTCTACTTCACCCTCAGCAGCCTCACCAGCGTTGGGTTTGGTAACGTCTCAGCCAACACTGATGCTGAAAAGATTTTTTCCATTTGCACAATGCTTATAGGGGGTAAGTAAACCTATTAAGTGCAGAAGGGAGAACCTGGGGTGGGGGTGGGGGTAGGAATGCAGTAGTTCAGAACTATGGTGCATGCAACAGCACCATGAAGGGTTAATAATTGTAGGAGCAGCATGCATGTGCCTTCCAGAGTCAGCATAGGAAGAAGAACCCTTAGCGGTTGTCATTACTAGTGATAGGACTGGTTGAAGTCATTTTATTGAAATTCCATTTGTAAATAGCAGTGTCTGTTCTTATTAAAAGTCTGGGAACAACTCTAATTTTCTATTAAAGTAACAACATTGGGCCAGGGGTGAGGGAATATTTTCAGTTCATACTTCAGTACAAATTAAACCAAATTCTAAATAGTAAACTAATCAATGATGCCTTTTTAAAGCAAGGCTGAGGTTCGTCAGAAAACATTATAAAAAAACGCATTTTGTTATGTATTAGGCTGTAAGATTGACAACATTGCAGCTTAACTAATTAAGCCATGCAAATTTCACACCACACAGCTGTGATTGTTGTAGTTATTGTCTAGTGAAGCATTAATATTCATCGTGCAGCACAGAACTTTAGACTCCATCCTTAAAAAGCAAGAGTTTGGGGCATGCTACAGATAAACAAGTTGTTGTTGTTGTTGTTACTATTGTTAAGTAAATTTCTATACTGCCCTTTATCCGAAGATCACAGGGAAGTTTGCAATACAAAAACACAAACATACATTTGATAATAACAAAAACAATACACACACACACACACAGAGAGAGAGAGAGAGAGAGAGAGAGAGAGAGTTTAAATGCTCATAAATTGTTTAATTAGCCAAAAGGCCTCGTGGAAAAGGAAAGATTTTGCCTGGTGCCTATAAATATGTAACAAAGGTACCAGGTGGGCTTCTCTGGGGAGAGCATTCTACAAGTGGGGAGCCACTGCAGAAAAGGCCCATTCTCGTGTTGGCACTCTCAAGACCTCTTGTGGAGCAGGCACACAAAGAAGGATCCCAGATAATGATCCCAGGTCCAGAACTGTTCATATGAGGAGAGGCAGTCCTTGAGGTATTGTGGTCCTGAGCTGTTGAGACTTTATAGGTCAAAAGGAGCACTTTGAATTGGACCCAGAAACTAATTGGCAGCCAGTGCAGTCTGGCCAGCATTGGTGTTATATTCTAAAGCCATCTTGCCACAGTGAGCAGCTTGGCCACTGAATTCTGCACCAGCTGAAGTTTCCAAACCATCTTCAGAGGCAGTCCACATACTACATACTACAGTAATCTAATCTAGAGGTTATCAGAGCATAGACAGAAGTTAGGCTATCCCTGTCCAGACAGGAATGCAGCTCTGCCCACCAGCCAAAGCTGACAGAAGGCACAGAGGTGATCATACAGGGTGACCAAAGCAGTTTCTGTGCCAAAACCAGGCCTAAACCCTGATTGAAATGGATCTAGAAAATCAGTTTCCTCCAAGCGCTCCTGAACTTGGTCCATGACCACCAGCTCAAGAACCTTGCCCAAGAAGGGGAGACTGGCAACTGACCGATAATTACTTAGATTTTCCAAATGCAGGGAAGATTTATTGAGGAGTGGAATTACTACTGCCTCTTTCAAGCAGGCAAGGACCACCCCCTCTCGCAAGGAGGCAATCACCTCCCTAGCCCAGCTAGCTGTCCCCTCCCTCCTAGTTTTTATCAGCCAATAGACACAAGAGACCAGAGTGCAAGGTGCAGAACAATACAAGCACCGTGTCCACATCCTCAAGCCTTACTCACTGAAACTCATCCAACACAACATCCCTAATACTGATGGGTCATTGCCCTCTTCTCAGCAGCTGTACCCTTAAATTACATGTTGTTGTTGTTTAGTCATTTAGTCGTTTAGTCGTGTCCGACTCTTCGTGACCCATGGACCAGAGCACGCCAGGCCCTCCTGTCTTCCACTGCCTCCCACAGTTTGGTCAAACTCATGCTGGTAGCTTTGAGAACACTGTCCAACCATCTCATCCTCTGTCGTCCCCTTCTCCTTGTGCCCTCCATCTTTCCCAACATCAGGGTCTTTTCCAGGGAGTCTTTTCTTTTCATGAGGTGGCCAAAGTATTGGAGCCTCAGCTTCAGGATCTGTCCTTCCAGTGAGCACTCAGGGCTGATTTCCTTAAGAATGGATAGGTTTGATCTTCTTGCAGTCCATGGGACTCTCAAGAGTCTCCTCCAGCACCATAATTCAAAAGCATCAATTCTTCGGCGATCAGCCTTCTTTATGGTCCAGCTCTCATTTCCATACATCACTACTGGGAAAACAATACCTTTAACTATACGGACCTTTGTTTTGTTCAAATCTTGCTTTGGACCCACTCTGCATGGCTGTGATCTTAAGTTCAGCAGCGCTCATGTCCCACCATGAGTAAAAGGAGAACCCAACAACCTAGAGCTTGCTGAATACAATATAGATATACAAAAAGAAAAAACAAACAAACCTGAGTTAGCACTGGAAAAGAAAGTTGCTGCTATCAAATATCACACTGAATTAAATCTACTAATAACCTATTATGTAAAGCCGCTTGTGATATTGAACTGATTGTCCTAGATTTGGTGCTGAATGTTTATCATTACCTAATGTTCACTCCAGACCTAGCCTGCATGGCTGTTCTCTGTTATAACTTCCTCATTAAGTAGGAATTGAAAAGCTGACAGTGTGAGATATTCTCAACACTGAGGAAAATATTCATGCGAAAAGGAGGGGGGCTGGGGAATGAGGAAAAACAGTCTTCCTTCCAGCTGTATTAATATCCCTGTTCTGTTTTGAAAACAAATAGCTGTGATTATAATCAGCTGAAAGAGGAGCAGTGTCTTATTAATTAGATGAGTAATTTAGATGTGATTTACTCTCATAATTAGCTAAGCAAAACCTATAATAATATTAATGTAAGGGAAGTGAGCAGAATGGAACTGGTCACTGGGGACGTAGTTAGGAAATAGTCAAGAAGAAATCCAAGTTACTCTCAGGTACATTTTTCTGACTGGATCTCAATGGCAAAACTCACATTAATTCTAATAGGCTGAGATCACTGTTTAAAATGCCATGGAGTGCAGTTTACTAAATTAGAAATAACCTTAATTCTTTTTGCTATGGATAAGGAACACATATTATGTTGTTTAAAATAGTAAGATTTTTTATTTTAAAAAAACCAATAACAATATTCTAGGAACATAAAATATATTCTTTCAGTTTTAGTTCTCTCTGTGGACTACAGTTATTATCTGGGTCAGGAATGTAATGTAGAAGCAAGAAAGAATTTTCATTTGTTGGGGGGTGGGGAAGTAGTGGCAGCATATGCCAGGAAAGAGAAAGATAGTTTGAAAAATCTTTATGTTATAAGATTTGGAAAAAATATTAGCTCTTCAATGTATTCACCCAACAGATCTGGGGGTTTAGATTCTGCTGCCAAACATTTCCAAGTGGGAACTGTGCAACATGCAGAAGTACCAGCATAAAAGCAAACTGAAAGTTTTATTACAGGTTCAAATTATAGGTCAGCTGAGCAAATGTATACGTAGCATATAGTAGATTTTAATTCTCCAGCCTTTATCTTCATTTTGCTCTCTTGTGAGACAGATTTGCAAGATGCATTCTGCATATACTGACTTCCTGGTGTTTTAATAATATTCATGAATGTCCTCTGGTTTTTAGTATGTTTTAAACTGAAATATCACAAAAGCATTTATGAATCTCTACATTTTCCAAACTGCTTTCTCAGCAGAGCAGAGCAGAGCTAGTCATTGATTCTCACTATCAAACTTACTTTATTCATTCCGGATCATTTGCTGCTCGCCTTTTATTATGTTGCCATCATTAATGAGCAAGTTCTTTCTTTCTTTTCTGTAACTCCAGCATCAGTTTTGGCAACAGTGGGGTCTCTTTTCTGCTTCAGTATGGTTTCTCTCTTTTACAGCTTTGATGCATGCCTTGGTGTTTGGTAATGTGACTGCTATTATTCAAAGGATGTACTCCAGGTGGTCCCTTTATCACACAAGAACCAAGGACCTGAAGGATTTCATAAGGGTCCATCACCTACCACAGCAGTTAAAGCAAAGGATGCTTGAATATTTCCAAACCACCTGGTCTGTCAATAACGGAATAGATTCCAATGAGGTAATCAGAGTCTTTCTAGCTATAAATTCTTAAATCAACAATGTCGGTGATGTTTTAGTTTGCCATTTGGTGACATTGTATTTCTGGAACAATCTTACTTGTATGCATAGGGTGGTATCCAGCATTCTCTGTCCACTAGTGAGAGGGTTAGGTGACAGGTGAGTTTTAATGTTGCGCAACTGAGGAATTCAGCGCAACAATTGTGTTAGCAGAAACTCCCTGTGGAACAGATTGAGCAACCAATTGCGTGAACCAGTTAGGGAAGCTTTTAACCAATTTAGGGAAGCTTTTAAGGTTTAATAGGTTATTGTATTTTAGTGTTTTGTTGGAAGCCACCCAGAGTGGCTGGGGAAACCCAGCCAGATGGACGGGGTATAAATAAATTATTATTATTATTATTATTATTATTATTATTATTATTGTTATTGTTGTTGTTATTATTGTTATTATTGTTATTATTATTATTATTACCAGGTGCCTCCCGCAACCCATGACCGTCTCCCCAATAAACATACAAGATGGCAATATGTTTGGTCAATTTAGGTCACAACTTCATGGATTACGGATGTAGAAGTTTGGCATAGGCGTTGGGTATAACTGTTGAACCACCAGCCCACCTGCTGGGGTATACCTGTTAAGGTATCAACCTGGGACGAAGGGGGCCTATGACACACATCAAGTAGGGACCCCTTGTGGGGTTGCTGCTCTGAGGAGTGCTATGGCCCTAGCCCCTGCCTGGGCATCTGATTCCTTCTGGATCCCTTTAACAGGATACCTCTGAATACATAAACTTGTGAGTTCAAAGCTAACTTTGTTGCACAGGTGCATTTACCTTCAATGCTTTTGTGGAAGGTGCCTCAAGCAACTTCCATGATCTAGCCAGGAAATAGCAGGTGGATTGGGGTGGAGCCTGAAGGCCACTCCGCCCTGCCCCTAGGGTGGAGCCAGCTGATTAGCCTGCCCATGGTAGGCCAATTATTGGGCAGGGTACTATTCAGTTCCCAGGCCAGCGTGAGGCACATTTGGTGGTCAGCTAGCCTGGGGAAACCCCTCATTAGTTGCTCTCGGCTGGATCAAGGAGCAACAAAGTTAGCTTTGCATTCACATTTCAGCCCCTCGAGCTGAACTTTTTCAGAAACTTTTTCAGCTCTGTATTTTGTTTAAAGGTGATGTGACCACAAACGTACACAGTATTTCAAGTGTGATCACACAGTTGACTTTGTAAAATGACAAATAGAGGAGCTAAATGGATAAAGGTGTAGATTTACTGAAATTTAACAGGAAACTTTATCCCCCTTTCTGGATAGCTTTTAAAGGACTTTCCTGATGAGCTGCGCTCTGACATCACCATGCACTTGAACAAGGAGATTCTGCAGCTGTCCCTTTTTGAGTGTGCCAGCCGCGGGTGCCTCAGGTCTCTGTCTCTGCATATCAAAACCTCCTTTTGTGCTCCTGGGGAGTACCTCCTCCGGCAGGGAGATGCCTTGCAGGCTATCTATTTTGTGTGCTCAGGTTCCATGGAAGTTCTAAAAGATAGCATGGTGCTGGCAATTCTAGGTAAGTTCTTGGATGTGCTCTACTATTGCCAGACGGAGAGTGAAGTTAAAAAAAATATATGGGTAGAGCAATCAAAACTATATGATGTCTCCATGATATATATACCAAGGTAAACTATGCTGGTGTGACTTACTGTTCCAAACTCTGTTCAGCTGAGGGTCTACTAGTGGTTGAGCCAACCCAAGCCAGATTTTAAAATAGCATGATTTAGACATTTCACCAAGACATTTTACCACCCTTTCTGCCATTATGGCTTCTGCTCAGTTGCTAGGTCATGTGACCAAGCTGAATGGAGTTTGGAATAGGATTACATTTTCCCCTATACCATCCTATCCTTTGGAATGCTCCTTTCTCAGGATGAGTTGAATGAGCCCTGGCTGAGCCAGAATTCAGGATTTAAATTGGCGTATCTCTGGTTGAGCCCAGACTCATCCAAAGTTTGGCCTATTCCAAACTCTGCTCATCTTGGCAGATCTTGGGTTCGGTTGCTCCTTCAAGATACCCTTGATCATTGTTAGCTGATAGATCCAGTTGTGTCCACTCTAGTAAGAGCAAGAACTGCTGTGCTGAACCTGTGCCCCGGTAAGTTTGGCTTGTGTGACCTTTGCAACCCATGCCAGCTACAAAGAAATGGTAGGTATGATTCATACTACTGTCTAAGGATTTTTCATTGGGATGCTAGTGTACTTTGGCATTCGTTGAATGCATCCGATGAATTTAACCTGCAATAAAACTTACCTTGGCGCATGGGAAACAGCAGCAAAAGTGAGTTTCTGGGCCTTGGAATAGTGGAGAGAGGATGAGGCAGTGGTGGTGGCTTGCAAAAAATGAAGCATGCAGGGGTGCTTGCTTTTGTGAGTGCCCCTACACCAGGCATATCCAAAGTCCGCTTCGGGGGCTAAATCAGGCCCACCAGTCGCTTTAATCTGGCCCCTGGGGCAGTTTATTTCCTGGGGTAAAATCCTAAAAAAAGCTCAACAACTTTGGGTGGCCCTTTCGGGCGGCCCTCATACATGTTCACTTCATCAAATCTGGCTCTCCTTGGAAAATTTTTGGATCCTCTAGTTCACAAAGTAAGTGCATGCATTTCCCAGTCTCCTGTTCCTCCTCTCCATTTATTTCAGTGGAGTTGGGCCAATGTGAGCCCCATTGTGTGCATGTATTGGCTCATTCCATTGTTTTGAACAGGGGAGATTGCACATGCAGGAGAACCATGTTTAAGGGTAAGCAGGTGTGGCTCTAGATCACTTGTTAAAAGTGGGAAGGTTTGAATAGGGAAATCCTTTCCCCAGTCAGATATAGAGTGTAATTCTTAGAATAACTAATAATTTCCAGAATTACTTCAAGCACAAAAAAATGCTTTATTCTTATTTTATATTCTACCACCAAACAGGGAGTACATATGGCAATGAATACAACGCCATGCTATACCAAACCATCCCCATGTAAAATGCCAATATGATCTTTGAGCAAAATTCAGAATACTGAAATTTTCTTATACCTAAGAATTTCTGCTTTGGTTATGGAAGAGGGTATTTAATAACAGTTAATCTGTGTTTCTTTGCAAAATGCCTTTCTTTCAGTCGAGGTAGGAAAAGCAGAGATATAAGAAGTAATGACAGTTCCAACTGCAAAGCAAAAAACATGGCATTTCAATTTATTTTACACTGAGCTTCAACTAGATTGTAACAGAATACACCTGAGTGAAGCAATTACAAAATTGGAACTATTAGTGTGTGCACCATAGAAGTCAGCAGCTTTGTGCTATTCATACTATCATCCTTACTGACTCCTCCTATTATTATTAATTCCCAGAATTCCCAGAGCCACTAGTTTCAACTTACTTACAGAAGCTTAATAGTTCTGAATATTTGTATCTGGGTCCCTGTGTATTCCGCACGATCTGTTTAAGCTGTTCTCTGTTTCTAAGCAAAGTCGAAAATTCGTTCATGAGTAATATTGCTCTCCTCTTTCGTATTTTCTTTTAGGTAAAGGAGATTTAATTGGAGCAAATCTCTCAATTAAGGACCAAGTGATTAAAACAAACGCTGATGTGAAAGCCCTAACCTACTGTGACCTCCAGTGTATAATTCTCAAAGGACTCTTTGAAGTATTAGACCTTTACCCAGAATATGCTCACAAGTTTGTTGAAGAAATTCAGCATGATCTCACATATAATCTTCGGGAAGGCCATGAAAGTGATGTAAGTAGATTTAATAGGACTACAGTTACTTCCAGCTTTAAAATTAGCTCTTGTGTTTCAGCAGTTCTTCATACGTACATCAGGGTAAAAATATATGTATAGTGTTCATTTTTCAAATGAATTCTGCTTGGGTCCAACTTAACAATTCAGACACAGCTTAATCAAAATTATTGATAATGAATTATAGGTCTGATACAAATTACTCTATGCTTCTATATAAATTATTCCTTTGGTGTGGGTTTTGTCCTTGTGCGCTTATATTTTCAAATATTTGCTAGTCCTGCTAAACCTTAATCCAAAGTAACATTAAACCATTTCTATTTTACATCCTAAGTAAGAGTTAATTCTCACTGCAATTTAATATAGTTTAGAGAGTTGTTTCAGTTTTTAATACAAGAAAATGTTGCCAACATACATACACAAGGGAGAATTGCAATTTATGATGGCTCTTAAGGTGAACTGAACTCTACAAGCCCTAAAAGAGCAGGGGTCTGTTGAGAGTTCTCCACACATGATCATTAATGGGCTTATTTTCAGAGCTAAGGTATATGAACTACAACAGTGAATAAAACCCACTAGGCAGAGAAAAGCCATGCATCAAAAGTTCAAGAGTTGTATGCATGCCTTTTATTTTTCATCTAATGAAACTAAACACTGCAATCCCTAGATCTTAGAGATTTCTTCCTAGCGCCCAAGGAATAATGCAACCATTTTTCTAATACACTAGAACCTGTCAATTCATGCCGTGAAATATTTGGAACGCTCCTATCTGCACATCCTAGAAACTCTGTGCTTTCTTCACATTGTGCTTTTTTGGGGAGAAAAACAGTTTTTCCCACCTTACCCCACATAGTCCTTAATATAGTGAACATCTTAAGGTTGGCTCTGAGAACAATGTGTCTTTCTGCTTCTGTGGCTTTATTCCTCACCTCTTTGGTAAATCTCAAACAGCAAGATTGTGTGGGAGGGGCAGATGTCATGATTTCATGACTACCACCCCTATGGAATTGTGACACTGGCATAGAAAGTAATTGTTCTTCCCCACAAGATACCACTTAGGCTCAGAGGTGGAGCTAGCTGCCCAGGGGCAGGGCAAGTGTCCCAGGGGAGTGGGGCGGCGATGTCACCCCCTCAGGGATGACACCCAGGGCGAGCCGCACCCACCACACACCCCTTCCTCCGCCAGTGCTTAGGCTGCAATCCTAATTCCATTTACCTGGGAGTAAGCCCCATTGAATTCAATACAGCATAATCCTAACCATGAATAACCAGAAATTAGTCACTAACTTGCATAAGTAAGTAACGACGACCTAGCTCACAGATTTGTTGCAAGGCCAAGGTGTCCTGATACGAGAGCAAAGTTATCGGAGCTATCTATGCTGAACTTTAATTAGATTTTTGTGAAGTTTCCTGTTGTTTAGGTTCCTCTCAGGCATTTGTAGCTGAGAACGTATTTGCATAAACTAATTGGCTAGATCAACACCTGTGGGATGCTTCGCATGTTACACTTGTAACAGGGGACACATTAAAGACCTCTGTTCAGCACCTGCTAAACCGAAAGCCAGTAACAGATTTCCGTAGTATTTTTTCATGGTATATATATGAGCTGAGAAAAATATGTGTGTGCTGCAAACACACCTGTATATGCTGCAGACATCATGGTTTAGGAGGTACACAATGTGTGCCCATAAAAACCGTGGTGTGTGAAGCAACACAAAGTGACTATACATCAATATGATTTGCTGAGATTGAGCTGAAATTTCTCAGAAGACATGGTTCAGGAGATGCTCTTAATTAAACCCCACCTCCTGTTTATTACATACACACACCTGAAATTTTCCCAGAATATGTTCACCATTACTTTATGGCGAATGCCATTTTCCAATCCTGCTCCAATGACCTGGAATGATACTAAACCTGGGGCATAATGAATGATTCAGAATGGTGAGCAGACTGGCAGAATAATTGTTGTTGCTGTTACTTGCTGTGATAGCCTCCTAAATAAATAAATAAAAAAGATTTAGGAGGAAAAGAAGGAAGCTGGGCTGCTACTACTGCTTGTGATGAGTCCAACCCCTGTGAAATTGTTAGATATATTTTCCTCCCCTTGGAGAAATTCGATGAATACTGTCTCTTCCAAAAAAAATAGGGTGGGGAATTTTGAACACAGCTCCCAACACGAAGCATAGCTGCTGGTTCCTGAGAGGCTCAGGGAGTTTGGCGCAGTGCAGGCATGGTGGCAGGAATGGAGGATTGGCTCTGCCACTGTGCTCACACCATGCTGAGAGCTCTGCCCTTCAACCCTCTAAGGAACCAACCTTGGAAGGGCAGATAAGCAACCCCATTGACCTCTACTGGTTCATATATGGTGCATCCAGGAGCAGATATGCCCCAGTGGAAGTTCCCAGCATAGGAAATGACAAGTGAGGACAACTGGTTATTTTTTAAAGGGGCTAAATGAAATGTTTCATCTTATTTGCAGTTGGATGAATGGGGAGGACAGTGTCCAAAGTCCGTTTTGGGGGCCTAATTCAGCCCACCAGTCAATTTAATCCGGCCCCCACATCAGTATATGTTCTGGGGTAAAATCCTAAAGAAATCTCAGCAACTTTGGTCGGCCCTCATGCATGTTCACTTCATCACATCTGGCCCTCTTTGAAAAAAGTTTGGTCACCTGTGGTGTAATGGCACAAGAACCCTAAGAATTGGAAATCCACCTACAATTGCTTCAATATTTAATAAAACTAGAACAATCTGTCTATCTAGTGTTCTGCAATACACAGTAGAGTTCTAATGGATAGTCAACATAGTCTTTCTGCTTCTTCTCTACTCCTAAATCTAACTCTTAATACTACTTCCTTAATATGCATACAAAAAGAACAGTCATGTGCACAACAGCAGAGACAATTACTACCCTATGTAGTATAAATATTATTGCAAGAGAATAACTCATGCAGCCTATTTTTACTTATTTAGTAATAAACTTAATTGAACTGAGTAAACATGTATAGGATTGCACTCTAAATTGTATACATTGTAGAATTCAATGTTAAATTGATTTGCAAAACTCCCCAAAGAAGACAATTTTGCTGCATTTTCTCCAAATATTTTCCACCAGTTTGCACCCTGGAGCAAGTGCTTTGAGTCCATTTTGAAGGGGGATGCCTCAGAAGATATGGGCAGAGAGGAGGGTGGTCCTCTTTCCTGATGACTTTCTTGTTTGATCCAAAAGGCAAAGCACCACCCTTATTGGCACTTCTTGTTGCATCTTTTCTTTTCTTTTCATATGCTAGTGCAGTGTAAGAAAACTATTCAGCTTTTCTGCTTCCTAGGACTCCTCCCCCAGGAACCTCCAATTATAGAATGGCCTTGCATGAACTTTATTATTTCCTCCTGTTTCTTTTGATCAACCCCTACTCGCATGAAAGACAAAAATGAGTGCTGCCAGATGCACTTGGTTATATTTGTTGAGATTTCATGAGTAAGCAAAATGTGAGAACTCCTGATCAGCAGTACAGGGCCCGTTAACTTGCAAGCAGATACTGACTAGAGTGTATGAAGAATATTCTGTGGCACCGATTATCTAATGAGTACTTGGAAAAAAGCCATCTCATTAATGGTCGTCACATTTAATCACCAATCTTATGGCTCGGAGTTTTTATGACAGCCCTCAAAATAGATTAGATTATTTAGCAATTGTTCACCACGTACATATAATATCTAGTTGTGTACATAACTTTTCACTGGATATGTATAATACCTATAAGCTATTTATGATGGTTTTCCTCATTAAGAATTGATCTTTTCTTCACCAGTGTTTTGGTCCAACATAGGTAATCTTTCCTTTACACAAAAAATAAGAGAATTTTGGCTAATTCACATATAGTAATCGTGTTGGGGCTTGAGTTTCTTTTTATTTCATTCCCCCCACCCAATCCAAAAGGAGATCTTTGTAGTTTTTGTGATATGGAGATTATCTCTCTCCATGGAAAATAAGCAGATATGTCCTGTGCAATCCAGTACCTCAGAAGTAAGCCCCATTGAGTTCAATGGAACTTACTCCAGGTAAGTGAGAGAGGGATTGCAAACTAAGAAAATTTCAGAGGACTATGCATGTTAACACTGAAAATCTGAAATCTGTTGAATGTTGACAGTTACATAAAGTATTTGTTACCACGTACTGGTGAACGAGCAGTAAGTTAGATGTCTTTTTTGGGAAACTCAGCTGAGATTGCAAGCATTCTCTTGTGAGTGTGCTGGTTTAGATAGATAGATTTTAATATGCCTAGAAAGGTAAGAAAAGATGGAAAATAACAGAGAGATTATTTGGTATCAGCCTCTTGGGGAAGAGTAACAAAAATGGCAACATGAATTGAATGCTTCAAGGGACCCTGATGACGTTGGCAGAAACATCAATGCCCAAGTGGCTGGCAGTGTTATCTGAAGCTGGTGAGGTGTGTACCTATAGTCTAGCACTGTTATTGTGCTTTTTTCCCTGTGGATTATTGGGATAGTTCAAGAATGCAAAAAAGAACATCTCTTTCTCTCAGTTGCATGCACAAACAAGCGTCTATATCATTCCTTTAAACTAAGCCCGTATGTGCTTTGCCAACACAATGCTTTCTTTTATTTTGTTTTTATATAGCAGTTGTCTTTATTAAAGGCTTCCATTGGTGCTTCTCTGTCATTTGCAGATTGCTTAAATGCCGTTACATGACAGCTTAGGAAACCTTGTTAACATCCACCCTGCATTCTTTACATGGATAGCTGGTAGAGTGGCAAATTGATTTAACACTAACATTATTGGTTTCTGTATTTCCTGAATGGCATACATCCTAGTTACATTTGAGAGCTGCACCTGGAATTTTATTTTGGGAGTGACCTGTGCCACCCACAGTTTGGATATGTCACTACGATACCTTTGTGCTGGTTGTTGGTCAGGCCTTTGTTGTGGCAAGACCATACATTCTCCATTGCAAGTGTTTGGATGCAATACAGCTGTAGTAAGACTGATGGGGATGACACAGAACCTCCGAACTCCCAAGACCATCTTTCTGACCTTTCCTCAGATGCTAGATCAGGGTCTTCCAAACTTGGGTCTCCATCTCATCCTGCTAGCTAGGGATGATGGGAGTTGTAGTCCAAAAAAGTTGGAGACCCAAGTTTGCGAAACTGTTCTAGACTGATATTCTCAGGGTTGCTGACCTCACTTCCTACTTCCTGTTCCTCAATCCTACCTTTCATTTGTCTCTCTCAACCCTGATTGAAATGGATCCAGAAAATCAGTTTCTTCCAAAAGCACCTGGATCTGGTCTGCGACCAGTCGCTCTAAAACCTTGGTCAGGAAAGGAGGATTAGCAACTGGCCGGTAGATAGTTAGGTTTTCCAAATCCGGGGAAGGTTTCTTAAGGAGTGGTTTTACCACTGCCTCCTTCAAACAGCCAGGGACCACCCCGTCTCATAAAGAGGCATTGATCACCTCCTTGGCCCAACCTAACTCAACTTCTGTTGATGCATATAAGTTCCAAATGCTGTCATTCTCTCCAGTAATTAATCTTTGCTACTCCTTTAGCCAGTGAGAAAATAATTCAAACAAAATAGTTGCATCTTCTACATACTTTGGGGAGGGATCCATTATTTGTTCACTTTACCACAGCTTTTCTTCCTTTCCTAATTGGTCCTTCAGAGATGTAGCCTTTGGAGGAATGAACACAGGCCACCCGTTGGGTGATACTATACTGTACTAGAAACCTCCCTTCCCATGTGTCAGGCTATACCAACATGCATACCCTACCTCTGCATCGAACCCACTACAATACATTCAGCCATTGTCAGGGAATGGAGACAACTCACCTTGCTGCACCCAAGAGTTCTTGGGTCACTCTCCTCTTATGTAGTCCTGCTCCCAGCAGTGAGGACCTGCTAAGAAGCAAACGTGGACAAGGTTAGGAACAACCCCGTTCCTTGTGAATCGTTGGCTTCCTAGCTGTGCGTGTGGCACAATAGAAGAGGGTAAGGTCCTTATATATTTAAGTACTAAACTGTAAGGAGTAGAGATGGCACGGATAGAGTATTTGTGATGAGAGCTTACTGCAAAAGAAAAGTTGAAGTAAGTTTAAGCCTATGGCAAGATTTGAAGTAAGTTTTGAGAGAGCTCATTGTTGGCTCTTTCTGGTTTTGCCGTGGGATGTGATAGCACAACCATGAACTCATTTGCTAAATGACGCCAAGTGAGATTACTACTGTGCCCCCAGAAACAGAATGATAACACCTTTCCCCTGTAGCCGCAGTGAGATTTGATTCATCTCTTAACACCAAGCATTGTAGCAGCCTGAGTCACTCAGAGGTCTTCTGTGCATTCCACAAACTTTAATGAAGTCCCGAAGGAAGATGAAAACCTCTGAGGGAAGCATGACTTCTCTCCTTTTGGTTCAGTGAGGTACTATCAATATGTGTCACATCGTGGAGAGAAGGATGGCTTGCTTGAATATGTAGAGATCTGTCACTGCAGACAGGATGTATAATTAGCATGAATGCTTTTCCTACAAAGCACTAAAAATAGCACTCATGTGTTCCATCCTGCCCAGCACTGACAAAACCAAATATTTACAAATTGAAAATAATAAGTATTATGTAGCCAAGAGGAAAAGAAAGATCCTGGCTGTCTTTGAATGGTTCTCACATTGCATATACAACAATGTGTGCACAAATCTCATTGGTTGCAAGTGGGATTCTTTCACTTTGAAGATGTAGCTGTGTGACTGATGCTTGGTATAGGCTGAAATCCAGAGCTCTGATCCTGGGTCCTTCACTGTAGACTATGACTAGGACTGGGTTGATTCTGGTTCTCTCGCTTTCTCATTTTTCCAATCTTAAATCCAGTTCTCCACATTTTTGCAGTGTTTTTTAATATATTTTTTTAATCGCCATGAAAATTCTTCAGTGCTAATTTCTCCTAATAGACAGTTCTTTTTGTATGCAGTTTCAACTACTGTACAGATTTTTTATGCAAGCAATTTGTCCTGATGCAAAACATTTTTGTAAGTTTTTTTAAAACCAATAGGTTCTTTTTTATGCATAACTTGGAAAACTGCAAATCAAAATTTGGATAAGTGTGTAACTTAGCTAACCTACTGTTTAGTAGGTTTGCAAATTTTGTGCAGGACTCTTCCCCCCAATACTTCCTTGTAATTATTTTATGCTCTCTTAGTTGGCTGGGCAGCAGAGGAGGGTGGAACATATTTGGCCAGCTTTTAAAACAGATGTTTGATCCACATAAATAAAAAATGGAAGTGTTTTGTAATAGGAAGCTAAATTACATTGCCTCCTAATTGTTGTTAAAGATATGTTACTAAACATGCTAGTTCAAGAGTTTGCAACCCTAGGCTTTGTGGTGACTGAAAGAGGGACAAAGCTCAACTATTAATTTTAGCTTTTAAACCATTTTGAACTCTCTCCCTCCTCATTCACCTCGCTTCCTAGGATTATTACATGAGGCACCAGATTATAAAGCTTAGCCAGAGGGTTACATGTTTGGACGAGGGGGGTGGAGATCCATAGTCCAGCAAAGCGGCTTATCTGTGTTTTTAAAATGTGGTGCAAGGAGGTTATAAAGCACTGAGCCAAGTAGCCTTTCGGCCAGAAAAACCATCTTAGGTTCAACAGGCATTTGTGTGTGAGAGTGAGGGGTGTGTGTGTTAAATCTAAACACGGGTTCTGTTCTGATCATAGTTGCCCTGGAAGAGCTAGAACATACAGACTCAAAAGGAGGAGTTGCAGTCCTATGCACAAGTTTTACAACAAAAATCATGGGATTATAAAACCAAAGGGCATGAGGGCAAGCTTGTAATCAGCCACTTGCCTGGTTGGCTATAGCAAGTTACAAATGACTCAGAAGTCCAAGAGAATCCCAGTTGCACTGTAGTTTTTAGTTTGAAAGAGGTAATAACTTTGTCTTTGAGACAAAGCAGCTTTATCTACATCACAGTCTGTTAAACAGCCATTTGCTTCCCCCTTTTTATTTATTTTTTTTGAAACTGTGAATTTCATAAGTTTGTCTTTAAATGCAAACAGAATCAAATTTCTCCCTCACCTAACCATAGTTTGTTCTGGTTCACACAAAACAGTAAACTGTGGTTAGCTGAAAACAAAAGTGAATGCTTCCAGTCTTCCTTGTTGCTGCACTGGAGGAGGAGAAGGGAAGGAGGAACCAGGTGAACCCAAGACTCATTAACATAGCTATCAACAATGGTTTAGAATTACATCCAAACATAGCTATTATCTTCTGAAATGAAGGGAGTGTAAAGTCATCAGTTAAGTCCTAGACTTTTCCAGTGCTGTGCAACAGTTGATAGCATTGGGTTCTTTTCACTTGTGACAACTTGTATTGGTTGTTGATAAACTTGTATTGGTTGGTATATAAATTGTCCCAACTAACAGGAAGCCATACTTATTGACTGCTGCACTGGATTAGAAGTTCCAACACCCAGCTGCTATGAATCATTGATCTCTACCAATGGAGAGACCAGTAGTTGCCAAAATGTCCCCATTCCCCCAATTAGCTAGCAGTGGTCAGGGATGGTGGGAATTGTAGTCCAAAAACAGCTGAGGACCCAAGTTTGGAAAGCACTGCTTTAAAGCATTTGGAATTTTGATATATATTTGGTTAGACTTGTATGTGATGTATTTTAGGGACACATTATGCATTGCATGTAATGAAGGGCTAACAGCATTTTTCTTTAAAGAAAAGTGCATACCCTCCAATATTTCTTCGGTGAAAATAGGGACATCCCATTCCATAATGATGATTTTACTATTTTTACCCCACACATCTTATACTGGGTTGCCTCAGACATTCTGGGCAGCTTCCAACACACATAAAAACATAATAAAACTTTAAACATTTTTTTAAAAAAAACACTTCCCTATACAGGATTGCCTTCAGATGGTTTGGGGTGGGGGTCGGATAACTCCATACCTTCCAACATTTCTCCAATGAAAGCAGGGACATCCTAAGGAAAAGTGGGACAATCTGGGATCAAATCAGAAACCGGGACAGCTTCTCTAAATCAGTGACGTCCCTGGAAAATAGGGACACTTGAAGGGCCTAAAAGTGCATTAAAGTGCACTATGAATGGAAAACCAGAGGGAGAGTGATTAAACCTGGTCTCACTGATTGCTTTTCAGCTCAGTTCTCTGCCCAAACTGCTCCCCCACTGCCCACAGAGTCCCAGATGCATAAATCAAGAGCTCAGCAGCAGGAAGTGCTGTGGAAAATTTGACTGGAAACAATGGCTAACAGGGAAAGCTTTGGACACCTCTGCCCGCTACTAAAAATTGCTTCTACCCCAGCTGTAGTGTATATATATATATATATATATATATATATATATATATATATACACACACACATACATACCCTGTTAGTGTAACAACCCTATGCAAAAATATGACATGGCTTCAATATACACATTTGTGTTCAACTTGCAAATTGTACCACAGATGGTGCAATCCATTAAATGTATTCAAGATCTACCGCTGGACCATTTCCCACCAAAATTATTGGCATTGGACCCCCCTTCTGCTGCAGCTTACTTTATACTGCAAAATTATTGACTTGACTGTGATGCCAAAACTACTGAGTGTCGCAACAGCTCTTTTTTAAATAGCCATGCTTGTTTGGAATCCAATTTTATTGCTTTGCTTTTAATCTTCACTAAACCATCTATATAAATGTCTACTTTAGAACCAAACTAGACACGACGCAGGAGATATATTACTAGCATAGGCTTCATTTTGTTTCATTTCTACTTTTTTATTTTTGTTACTATGCAAGCAGCTGCTTGGTGCTTCTAATTTGATCAGAGAGGCAGCCCTGGGAAGAAAGTGCTTTAACCCTTTACCTTACCTAAATCACAACTTTAGCCTGCTGTTAGTTATGTTGCCCGGTGTGTGTGTGGGGGGGGGAGAACGGGACGTGGATTGGCAGGGATGTGTACAATGTCAGTAGCTGTCTCTTTCCCCCCTCATACCCCAGATGGAGCTAATAACTATTTCAAATGGGTGCAATTTAGATCAGGGGAATGCCACAGAAGGCAAGGATACATTTAATCGATTCAGTGCCAAGTGAAAAGTCATCCATCTGCTTAGGCTTTGTGGGGAATAGTTGGAGTTACATTGTGCCTGAAAGTGAGCATCCCAGGTTGTGGCTCCCTGGGTATTTTTTATGGGTAGGTTATATTTTTTATGTTCTGTGTTGAACCATTTATTGTAGGGTTGTTTTAGTGTTTTATTGTACTGTAATTCTTCCTGGGATTATATGGAGAAGGATAGGTCAGAAATGGCTGATTAAATAAATAAATAAATAAATAAGCAAGCAGCCTCACATGGTTGGTTGATTTAAAAAAGAAAGAAAAGAATAAAGCATAGGAGAGCCTAATCATCATATGTATATCCCATATCAGGTCTTGTTGAGCCCTTATAGCTTCATGTAAGGTAAAAAGCTAAAGGCAAAGGACCCCTGGACAGTTAAGTCCAATCAAAGGAGACTATGGGGTTGCGGTGCTCATCTCACTTCCAGGATGAGGGAGCTGGAGTTTGTCCACAGACAGTTTTCCGGGTCATGTGGCCAGCATGACTAAACCGCTTCTGGCACAAGCCCAGAGCGCACGGAAATGCCATTTACCTTCCCACTGCAGAGGTACCTATTTATCTACTTGCATTGGTGCGCTTTCGAACTGCTAGGTTGGCAGGAGCTGGGACAAAGCAACAGGAGCTCACCCCGTCATGGGGATTCGAACCACTGACCTTCTGATAAGGCTCAGTGGTTTAGACCACAGCGCCATCTGCATCCCAATATAAGCTCCATATAAACCTTACCTTACATATAAAGATGTGTGTTTCTATCCAACTTTCCCTCCCTCTCCAATCCCGCCGGAACCTTAAATGCAAGATGGGGAGCTGGATGGATACAAATACCCCTGTTCAGTGACAGTGATGGCTTGTGTGAGGTGATGAGCAAGAGTCTATGTGCATGCAGCAGTGGGGGGGGGGGTGCCGTTCCAGTAAACTTTCCATACATTCACAACTGTATTTCTGTGGGACCTAACTTTTCTATCCCTGTAAAAATACAATGAATACTGTCAGCTCAGAAGCAGAAGAAACATGTTTTTTCATTTGTTTGTTACTTATACTACTTTTCTGCTGGCACTAAGGGAAGTGCTCGAATATTTAGGAGTTCCCTCGTCCGCCAGAGATACATAAAATGCGATCAAACTGAACAGAAGCTGAGCAAGCTGATGAAGTGAAAAATTAAAATTCAGGAGATGTTGGACTAGAAAATTGTCTTGGGAATGTTATATTCAATTATTGAGTTTAGTTACAGTAACAATTACAGCTAACCTAAGAGGTCCTTCAGATCGCATTTGTCTCAGTAGGATGCAATTTGGGGATTTACATATTTCATTCAAAAATAAAACATATATCCTCCCGCTCAAAGGAAAGTAGAGAGAGATGAACATGTATGAGTCACTAAGCTTTTAGGTGATACAGTAATCCCTTGTTATATGCTCACATATTTTCCATTACCACACAGAAAAATCCCTAGGAACAAAGCATATGACATTTGATCTACATTCATATTGCCAACATTCACAAACAGAATTTTGTACTTCTTAATACTAAGCATATTACCATTCCAATTTGAGTGGAAATCCAGTTCAAAGGCTGGGTTAGTGTTTTTGCACACACCCCCACCCCAAATTAGCAGACATAGAACATAGAACAAATAATTCAGTGCATATGACAAGGTTTAAATGTCCTTCTTTGCAATATATCCACATTTTCTTTTGTTCTGAATAAAACATCAAGATGACCAGCCAAAGCTCTTTCAAATCAAATGAATGAGAACTGAGGGGAAGATTTGGGAGGGGTTTTTTTTATACATAGTAATGCAATAAGAGAAGGGGACACGGGTGGCGCTGTGGTCTAAACTACTGAGCCTCTTGGGTTTGCCGATCAGAAGGTCGGCAGTTCAAATCCCTGTGACAGGGTGAGCTCCCATTGCTCGGTCCCAACTCCTGCCAACCTAGCAGTTTGAAAGCACACAAAAAAGTGCAAGTAGATAAATAGGTACCACTCTGGTGGGAAGGAAACGGTGTTTCTGTGCGCTGCTCTGGAAGCGGCTTAGTCATGCTGTCCACATGACCCGGAAAAACTGTCTGCAGACAAACGCCGGCTCCCTTGGCCTGTAAAGCAAGATGAGCGCCGCAACCCCAGAGTCGTCTGCGACTGGACTTAACTATCAGGTGACTTTTACCTTTTAATGCAATAAGAAATGAGAGAAGCTGTTTCAAAATGGATACATAGCTCTGTCCAATATGGCTGTCGAAGGGCAGAATAATATAATTTGAGTACTTTTTAATATTAAAGATGGAATAATTAAAAAATATGTCATACAGATTTGTGTGTGTCTCTCTCTCCCCGCCCCCCTTTTATCTGTAGAGAACTACAAAGGATGAGCATTGCCATTATACTAGTTCATTCCATAACAGGGTTCTCAACCTTTCAAGGATTTTTTTAAAGAAAAGGATATGGGGGTCACAAAATGGACTGTTGCAAGCAGATGGCCATTCACAAAATAGCTGCTCCCACTTTTTCAGGATCACCCCAGAACTAGCGCACACTCACATAAACACACATGCTCGGTCTCCCTAACATATTTTATGACTGTCAGTGTGGACCAAGATACTGGTGATTGCTTTAGTTCTCAGTACCACAATGGCGTCACATGGAAGAAGGTATGAGCCGGGTGAAAACTGTATTACCGCTGAATCCTCTCTGGGTTTTAGTTTTCCACCCTGCTGTGGAGTCACACATTTGAGTTAAATAACACAAGCTGGTGATTGAAGATCTATGCAAAGGTTTGATAATGTTGTTGCTTTGAGTTTATTTATCTGTCTCTCACACTTTTCTTCTAGAGTCAATAGACCGATTCCTGTGATCAGAAAAATCAAAGCCTTCTTTTCTCTTTTGATCAAAACATTTCTATCGCCTTCTTGTTGACCTCCTTATTTAGGGTTAAGCAAAGCCTGTTCCCAGCACCCTTTAAAAAGTATTAAAGTGATAAGAAATCAGGGCATCTCTGCCAGGTCCTCTCACAATTAATGCATCTTATATTAAATACACTAAGAGGCAGAAAGGTGTAACCATGGTTATGTGTATTCTGTGGCCTTAAAATTTCCTACAGTTTACTGCGTCTGTCTTTGTCCTTGTTGGTGTCTGTGTGACTGCTTTCTGTTTGGAGACAAAGAAGAGGCAGTAGAGACAAAAGACTTTTACAGAAAACACAGGCGACTATCACCCTTCACAGGGAGCTCAATGAATTCAATATTTTTTTATATGTAAAATATTCATTCTCATACTATGTCCAAATGCTTCACTTATACAAACAAGCAACTCAAGCTCCATTTCTGCAGATTTTTGAGAGAAATATTTATCAACTATTAATATAAATTCCCAGAGAGGTACAATTTGTAGACATGGAAAACAAAACAGATATGCAGCCTATAGACACACTTGCTTTGAGGGTCATTCTCATTTATCTCTGTGGGATTTACTTCCAAGTAAAGATGTGTAGGATTGGCCTACAACAATACCATCTCAAATAAAATCAGAGCTGATGTGGAGCAGTCGCTTGGACACTACTTACCTGGAAGTAGCTTACCTGAGAGTAACTCCCACAGAATCCAGTGGGACTTGTCTCTTACTATGCATTATAGCATTGCCCTAGAAGGATGCAAAGAGATGCAACATGGAAAATACACAATTGGGATCGTCTGTGGATTGGTTAGGCTACTTCCAGATGGGTTAATTTGCAAATGGGCTGTTCCAATACAGCAAACGGGTCATTGCAACAGTTTAGTTTAGTTTTTGTTTTATTACTAATCAGATTTCCCCTGGCAATGGTAAATCCAGATTAAATGGGGGGAAATATGGGCTAGCCTTTTGATGCTAGCCATGTTGTGAGGATGCTGCAAAAACTTGCATTTGTGGGGAGCACTGATCCCACAATGAACATCCATCTGAAAGCACCATTACATGTAAAAGCAGCCACTTGGAGCACAAATTAAATCAGGGTCATGGGCGCCAGAAAGGTAATGAAGCTCTTCCCTGTCTCATTTTTCTATCTCCCAAGCTGCTATTTGCCCTGCAGAGGAAAACATAAAGGCACCATAAAAGTACCTGTGCATTTCGCCCTGCAGATGCAACAACTTTGAGGAGGCAATTTAGAGTGACTCTTCCAGATGCTTTTCGACTGCAACTTCCTTCCTTCTTGACCACTGGCCATGCTTGTTTGGGCTGATGGGAGCTGGAGTACAGCAGCATCTGGAGAGCAACATTATTGTTATTGCAATTTGATTCTTCATGAAACTGAGCCAACACTCATCATTCCCTTGGTTATGATAGATAAGGGAGCACAAAGGAACGCAAGATCTCTCTCAACAAAGAGTATCTAAAGGTGTGAGTCATTGTGTTTGAACGTGTAAGAGGAAGTAGCAACTAATGGTAAGAATGGCTAGATCCAATGGTTCTGTTCAGAAAAGCATCCAGAAGTTCAGATGTTTTATTTTTTTCCTGCCTGTACCTATGTTTACAAATTTTACAAATTGGAAATCTCACAAGAACTTGGTAGTGGAACAAAATGAACGACTGACATAGCAGATCCACATTTAAAGCATATTCATTTCATTTCATTTCATTTATTGAAATCTATATCCTGCTCTGCCCAGGGTGGCAAACAGATACAAAATTTTAAAATGAAATCAAAGGAAAAATACCTAGAAAGGTTCTAAAAACAATTACAACTGGTAGCATCTAAAAGCAGTGACTCTTAAAAATATCCCAAACTGCACCATTCTAATGGGCATTTAAAGCATGTGACTCTAGAAATTTGCAATTGCTTCAGATCTGATCCTGCAGTAACATCCACCAGCTTAATTCTCATAAGTTCAAACAAAACACAAAGGTTATATGAAAACAAGGGAATGCATTTAGCTGCACAGTGAAAAGATCAAAGTGCGTGCATGCATGCTCAATGTGAAAAAATGCAAATTATACCATATACCAAACCAAAATCTGTTGTTTTTGCTAGGCGTGTTCTATCCCATGGCACATTCAGGCATATACAAAAGATGAAAATCAAATAAGATTATATACATATGGGCACCATACCATTAAAAAGCCACTTCTTTTTTGTGGCATGGTGCCCTTATTCAAAACAGAACAGAAAGTACCACCTAAGAAAAAATTGTGGGCTTCAGTATCATAAGTGAATATTTGATCACATTTTAAGACATAGGGATTTAAAAAAATAATTCACTTTCCACTAAACCGTTTTGTCAACTGATTTAGCAAACAGACATGAGAGACAATTGATGTGAGATTTCCCTTTTACGCCATCCCCTGCTCTAAAATTGCTGCTGGAAAAGCCACTATTGTGCAGATTCTGGTATTTGCTACTTCCTCTATTTGTTGTTCTTTTCAGGTAATCACAAGATTATCAAACAAGTCTGCAATCTGTCAGGTATGGTTGACTGATTTTAATATAATGAGCTTAGTTTTAAAATACCTGTGGCTGAATCCAAATTCCTTTTTGGGTCAGACTGTCACCTTTGGATCCCAGCAGGCACTGAGATGATGTACCTTTTTAAAAGATCCTTGTTTATAATGGGTACAGTAGTGTTGGCATGGATAAACTTGCCTGTTTGCATGCCCAGTTGCTACCTCTGCATTTTAAAGCCAGGTCCTGCATGCACAGTTTCTGGTCTGTGTAGAATTATGAAGTTAAAAAATTGTAAGTTCTCATTAAATATTGGGCTGCCTCATATCAAAATATGATGCGTTTTGCATGCTGATTCAAACTTATGAATGTTGATTCATCTCCCCAAAAGATCACCTTCTGAATTGCAACTCACAGTGACGTTTGAAATATTGATTTCAAAGCAACAGGCTTTTACTATGCTATATCAACGTGAACGTAGCAATTTCAAAATCTTGAAAGTATATAGAGAGAAACTCCCTAGCCCAATTAGGTTCATGTTAATACTGAACCTAATAACAAGAGTCCACAGAACTCGCCTATCCCAACAATAATATGAAAAGGGTTCTTGAAATTGTGCTGTGTGGCTCATTAATCACAGGGCTGATTTCAATACAGTGATCTGAATTCACATGATACCTTTCTATGATCTTGTCCACATAAGTGGAGGAAAGTGGAACGTGCCTGCCTTTCTACCCTGTGGGGGCAAAACATTCTAATACAGTGAGCCTAAGCAAACTTGATTTTATACTTATATGGGTTGTATTCAACTAACTTTTACTCAGAGTTCACCCACCTAAGTTAGATATGGCCATAAATTTCAGTGCATCTACTCCGCAAAGAAGTTAGCTGAATGCAGCCCTATGTGTTGGGTTGTGTTCAGGCCCATTTTGTATGGTTGCCGTTCCAGATACAATGTGCCCCAGACAACTAGCTCTTGTGATTTTGCATATACATTTGAACATCACATCTCTGTGCTGCCATCCAGTGATATCAGAGGGGGCCAGAACATGTTCTCACCTTCCTTCATGGGCCAGAGTGGAAGAGAGGTACCGGTAATGTCCTATATGACCCGCTGCCTCAGTGAATCTACTGAAGAGACTACCCATGCTTTCGTTCTCATAAGAATAATATTGGAACTCAAGCCTGTCCTGGAAGTCCTGGCTTTTAATTCTAAGTGTAGGGCAGCTTTTGCCAACCAGCTGCCCTCCAAATGTTTTGAACCACAACTCCCATCAGCCCCAGCTAGCATGGCCAATGTTGAGGGATTATGAGAGTTGAAGTCCAAAACATCCCGAGGGGACCAGGCTGAGGAAATCTGGTTTAGGAACATGCTGTAGTTGCTACATGATAAGGAAGGGCATTTTGCACATGTTCACTGATACTTTTTGTTATTATTTCACCTATTAGTACAGATTTTAAGTGAGCCCCTAATAAACCTTGCCACATACATTTTTTGTTTTGTTTCTTAAACCAAATTCAAAACAGAGGTGAATTTGGGTTGGTCAGCATATGAACAGGATACAGGGTCTACATATTTTCTCCCAGATTGATTTTTCAGTCTGATGTCATATTGCTCATACTTAATCCTCCATGGACATTGTGCCATGAAGATAAAACTTATGTCACAATGGGACCATGCTGTATGCGTTCTCAGTTGAGGACAAAATATAGATGAAAATCATGATGATAACCAATATGATATCTTGGTTAGCAGGTTAGGACTAAAAGCTTTTAAACCCTGGTCCAAATTTTTGGTGAGTCTTGAAGTTCCACAAGTTAGTTGTCAAGGTAGTAGCCAATATAGTAGTCAAGTAGCCTTCTCCACCTGGCCTAGGGGGCAGGGCCCAGACTCACCCAGCCCTACAAAAGAGGCTCCTCATGAGGCCAGAGGAAGATTGCCTGGCTATTGTTTTATTGGTTTAACATGCTGTAAAATGCTTTGAGATTTTATTAAAAATACAAAGCGGTATATAAATTTAAAAATAAATAAATATATTTTATCCTATTCTACCTGTGAGTTGTGGACATAAAATGAAAAATTGCCACAAGCAGGATGGAAATAGGATAGAAAGGAAGAGTAGAGCAAGCCAATACACACCATGGGGCTTGTTAGCAACATTACACTCATTTAATCTAAATATGAAACTGTATCTGGAATGTACACTGCAACCCACATGGAGTAAGTATATTATGGAAAGGAATAAGGCTACATGTGGGGGGAAAGTTCCTGATTTTAAACCCAAACTCCAGTTTCAGGATCATTTTCTTTACCGAGAAATGTTGCCTAGTTTTGGTTCTTGCAATTCACACAGTGCCTGTCTTGCGAAAAGTTCTGCTTTGAAACTCTCGGACATCAATAGTGTTGTCTACTGTTGAGCAACGTTACCCTATTTGGATTCACTTAATTTTAAATGTTCTCCCCTGCCTATTATTTCTGCAAAGGCTCTTAAGGCTATTTACTATTATCAGACAACGACTTGCACCCGCCTCCCTGAGCCCACATACCTGCAAATAGCATTGTGAAGGCTTTCACTCCAGCTTCCCTTTGCGCAGGATGCAGCAAAGCACTTTGAGTGGCTACCCCAGCTCTGGGACAGTCCCTCTCAGCAGGTGTGCCTATATTATCTTCTTCTTTGGCTTAGGAAACTATGTAAGATCTACCTTTTTACTAAAACTTTGAGCTAGTTTTTAGGGGGAAAGCTGGTCCAGTTCATTTGGAGTTGTTTTATGTTGTTATTTGTCAGTGTCAATTTGTCTTTCTGTTTCGTTTTGTTTTGTTATGTACATTTTAATTTGTTGCCACCCGAGCAAATTTAGAAACATGGGATTTAAGTGATTTAAATAAATAGGTAAATTAATTAGACAACCTATTTATCTATTACACAGCTCTGTATGAACTAAAAATATGGAACATTTCTGGGTAACAAAATGCATTTGCTTTCATTTTGCTGAACTGTGTTTATAGACCTATATTTTATAAATCTCCTCACATAGTGGAATCCCATTTAAGGAGCCCAAGAAGCTGCAAAATGTTTACGATGGGAACATTTGTGGTCTTTGGGTTTGACTGAATGCTCAATCTTCCTCTCAGGAAGAGGCTTCCATTTTTCAGTCTAATTCTCAGGGCACTTAAAAATTTAGGTGCAGGGTGTTGAGCTTACCTTGTTGCAAGGTGGCCAAGAGTGGTGTGCCTCTCTGAGTTTTTCTTTCCAGTAAGTTTTTCCCCAGCACTCTGCAGCCTCCTTGGCTGTCCATGCCTCTTGATCTGAAAAAAAGCTGCATGTATCTTCCCATTATAGTGCAGGCACCCCAGAAGGCTACAAAGTGCAGGCTACTGGTAAGATGACGTAGATTGAAAGACAAGACACTCACAAACACCATTTGGCCCTCCCAAAAGTGAGTTGAGCACAAAAAGCACCTCTGCATCCCACCCAAGAGAAATTCATTGCAATTCCCCCCCCCCCTTTATTAATTTTCAAATGCAATTTCTTTCCTCCTGGGAAATGATTGGAAAATATGTGGAAGGAACATTCAACACAGTACTAGTTGGATTCTCAGATACAGTGGTACCTCGAGTTACAAACGCCTCAGGTTACAATCGCTTCAGGTTACAAACTCCGCTAACCTGGAAGAGTTACCTCGAGTTGAGAACTTTGCCCCAGGGTGAGAACGGAAATTGTGTGCCGGCAGCGCAGTGGCAGCAAGAGGCCCCATTAGTGAAAGCACGCCTCTAGTTAAGAACAGTTTCAGGTTAAGAATGGACCTCCGGAACGAATTAAGTTTGCAACTAGAGGTACCACTGTAGTTACAACATAGCAAGCAGATTTCCATTTTAATTTCAATATGAATTATCCACTATTTTAGGCAGACTCGAAAGGAAATGGAAGCATCAACAAGAGACTTCCCTCTATTGTGGAAGATGAGGAAGAAGAGGAGGAGATGGTAGAAGAGGAGGCTGGTACTCTTTCTCCAGTCCATACCAGAAGCACAACCTCCTGCTCCCAGCAGAAAAAGTCAGGAAGCAATAAAAGCTATCTTGGGATAAACTTGAAACAGTTGGCCTCAGGAACTGTGCCCTTCCACTCACCTATCCGAGTTTGCAGCGCAACCTCCTCTAGAACCAAGCATGAAACGGAACTGCATTATTACTCCAAAAGGAGAGAGAAGAACCTGAAGCTGCACCTTTCATCCCTAAACAGCACTGGTCCCCCAGACCTCAGCCCCAGGTAAATATTAGCAATGTCTCTTACAATGGCGCGCACCCAGTTTCTCTTTCCATACCAACATTTTTCCTGTGGATCATAAATGTTTTCCGTTCTTTGATACTGTTGCTAACAATATTGATGCCTTAAAATTACCCACCAATTTCAACCACTTTAAATACAACCCATAAAGGAGTAAATTCACTGATTATCTAAATAATAACTGTAGAAGTTTGAAGACACTAGCAGGATTAAAATAAATCTTATGACATGGACTTGAATAAAGAGGAAACTGTGAGATGTAGATTGGAAATAGAAAACTGTTGGCGGGAGGGAGGGAAGTCATTGCTTGGCAGAGTGGGGGGAAAGGAGTTGTACAAATGGATGTTGAAATTTATTGTTGTTTGTTTAAAGTGAAAATTTAATAAAAAAGTATTTTTTTAAAAAAATACAACCCGTAAAGGAATAATGGTTCTCTATACAGAAGGCATTCAGAAGAACTGGTAACTAAAACCAGTACAATGCACAATGTTTAAGGGCACAATAAGACCCTATCCAGAATTCATTATGGGAGACTGAGGCTACAGTCCTCTACTCACTTGCCTGGAAGTAAGCCCCACTGAGTTTTATGGGAATTATTTCTGAGCAGACATTGACAGGATTGCACTGTAAGCACAAAAATCATCCTTACTGATTTCAGTTTAGTTTGCCAAAATGCACCTGCATCTTTCAACATCCCTTCAACAGACCTGCTTTAAAAATTGTCTGTTTTTCATTCAGAGTCCTGGAAGTCAGAAGGATATGTAAAAAGAACACAAAGTACGAGGGTTTTTTTTTAAGGATCATTGAAACCATGCAGTCCCTGAGCTAGCCCATAGAGCTCTGGAAGGAATGGAGGAGCAGTATGTTTTATTTTATCTTATATAAAAAATTGATACCCTGATTGCAAAATACCCACTCACGGCACTTTGAAGGGAAGCTCCCTGGCCGGAGCTAAAGCTTAGGCAGAGTCTCTTTATATGAAAACCTTCCTTGCCCATATAACAGGCCTGCCCCCAGCCCTGCCTATGGCTGACTGATTGGTAGGTTTGCAGGGTTTCCCACTGACCATATGCCCCGGACATTGCTGGGATTTCAAAGGTGGAATTGACGTCCGAGGGGAATTTCCGAAAGGCATGGGCTGGATTCCTTAAAAAAACAAAAACAAAACCTGAACAATTTTGGAGGTGTCCTTGTTTTTACTTTTTGAAACATGGCAACCCTACCACAGGCATCTGACTGGCCACTGTGAAGACAGGGTGCTGGACGAGATGGCATGATCCAGCAGGCTCTTATGTCTTTATGTGCAGAGAATACCGTATTTTTTGCTCTATAAGACTCACTTTTTCACTCCTAAAAAGTAAGGGGAAATGTGTGTGTGTCTTATGGAGCGAATGCAGGCTGCGCAGCTATCCCAGAAGCCAGAACAGCAAGAAAGAATGCTTTCACTGCGCAGCGATCCCTCTTGCTGTTCTGGCTTCTGAGATTCAGAATATTTTTTTTCTTGTTTTCCTCCTCCAAAAATAGGTGAGTCTTGTGGTCTGGTGCGTCTTACAGAGCAAAAAATACTGTATATAAAGTGATTCTGTCCAAGCTTTGGCTCCGTCAGCTTAGACAATCTCAGGGACTGTGCGGTTCCTTGGAGGGTTGTTCTTTTAAGTAACAACAGCCTTTGCACAGCTGTCTCCCCGCAGTGCAAAAGCAGACAAACACTTGATTTCTCAGCAAAGTGCTTAGCTGTTTGCTTTAAGGCTCTCTCTTTTGTTGACCCATGCAAATTTCAAGACGGAAGTTCAGCTCCCTTCTCCTGAAAATGCTCACAGACTGCATTCTCACCTTGAAAGGCTTTCGGAAAGACATTAAGCTGAACCCAGTGGGGAGGTCTGCTGCATGAGGTCCATTGAGAGAAATCGGAACAGCATGTACTACTTCCCTATTCATTTCAATTTGGCTTGTGCAGGAAACATCTCAGTGAACTGTGTCCATAGAAGCTAGCTGCAGGAAGGAGTGCCTGAGGAATAAGAAATGGGGGGCAGGGGAAGGAACCTTCTCCTCCACTGCCACGTTGCTGATTTTAGCTTAGGACAGTTATGAATGAAAGTAATCACCTTTAATAGGTGTTCAGTGACCTTTGTAAAATAGGTTATAGTTCAATAAATCCATTTTCATTCCTTCATGCTGCATTATCACATCCCTTTCATTACAGTAAATTTACTGATGAGTGTTATACAACTGCTAATCTCGCACAGGCATTTATCAACAGAGGTTGGCTGAACAAGTGATATTCCCCCGTTTTGTATCTCGGCAGCACTTTTTCTTTATTCGAAATGCAGGGAAGATTAGTGATAAGTTAAAGGAAATGATGGAGTGTACAAACATTCATATGACTTAAGGAAAGTTGCCTTAATTAAACAACACCTTGGTTGGGTAGCCGTCTTCCAAACTCTGCCATGGAGGTAGGGTTGCCATATTTCAAACAGTGAAAATCTGGACAGAAAATATGTTTTGGGGCAAAGTTGTTGGACTTTTTTTTACTTTTGCCCCAAGTTGTTGGGCAAAAACGGCACTGCTGACATGGGCTGCCATATTTTCCCAGACATCTTCTCGATTTCTGCCCGAACGCTGCTGTCGACTGCAGTATTCTGGATGTATGGCAATCCTTCATGGAGAGGGTGGGGCAAAGGGTTCATCAATTAAAAAGAAAGAAAGAACACAGAAATGGAAAACAAAGTATGGATGAAAAACAGGACAATAGGTACAGAAACACAATCATATTGCCAAAGAAGAAAGCTTCGTTCAGGCCATCTAATGAGAGTGCAAGTGCCTGGGAGCTTAGTACCAGTCCCTGTTCCTGACCTTTATGCATTTAGTATAAAACTTGTGGAGGCATCCCATTCGTGCAACTGTTAAATGTAGAAGGCTCTCTCTGTGTGATTGAGAGCCCACGCAGAGAGGTTCCACTGCATATATTATTATTGACAGAAGGAGCTATCTGCTGATGTTTAAGTGTGTGGTGCAAAGTGGGGTTGAAGCTGGCTGCGTCAGTGCTCCCTCTCCCCACGCCCAGTTTGAAGGTTTATAAAGGGAGTGGAACTTCACAAGTCAGATTTTTTAAAACATTACATTAATCTCCGCCCCTGCCCAAAAAGAGAGCATGTACGACTCCCAGGGTTTTTACAAAACCTCCAGTACAGCTTGCATTATTTCTTGCTAACACAACACAACACAAAACACAAGTTATTTTCACCATGCCTTTTGGAGGCGGGCAGGGAATGAGAATGGGCATCTATTCAGCGAGCTGAAATTCTAATTTATGGCCATTGTGTGCAGAGGGTTATTTTTATTTGCTTGCTTTCTTGTGTGTGTGTGTGTGTGTGTGTGTGTGTGTGGTTTTTTTGTGGCTTTTTTTGTATACACCACAATATCCTACCTCAATCTTCTGTTCCTATATGAAGCAAACATCACAATCTAGTTTCAGGCTCTGCTTGCAAGGAGCACATCAAATCCAAAATAATATTACAGCGGAGCGATCTTTTCCTCTGAACAACATATTTAATCACAGAAATTCTGCTGCTTTCCAGGCTAAGGGAAATCTCAGATTTCCTCTAACCTGGGGAAGCGGTTTGGACACTACTTTTATCCCTACTCCTCTTCAAAAGTATGAGTAGTCCCTCAGGAGGAAATGAAATCTGACAAGACAGACAAAGGCTTGTGGTCCTTTATTAAGGAAAAATGTTGTTTAAGTCAGTAACATCCACTTCAGTGTGTTTTCTTTGCAAATATAAACATAGAATTTTCTATGCCACGTTATCAGTTGACCTTTTCTTTTAAGCAATTTTAGGTTCAAATATTGGTAAAGTTCATCGTATGAACGTTCTGTTTCCCAAAAAATGTGTGTATTGTTAGCCATGCATGAGGACAAAGAAGCTTGATTTCTGTGCAATTATTCCAAGATTGTCTTTCCTTTTCAAAACAGGATCATTGATGGAACAGAAGATGGTAACAATAATGAAGAAAGCCAGACATTTGACTTTAGCTCTGAGCAACTCAGGCAGGATTCCAGAGCATCTCCTACCATCAGGGGTTAGTGCTATATTTAGCCATCTTACAAATGATTCATAATGCACCTTTCAGAGAGGGCTGCCTTTTGTGTACTGCACACTGTGAGAGAAATCCTTAGATGTGACTGGATCATCGTGGGCAAGAGTGACAGGGGGGTGAAGCGTAGAGCTATTTCTTTCCAGTTATCTGGGCTTCTTTTCTTGCCATTTATCAGACAAGGTAAAAAGATCATAATGCTTACAGGCATTGCTGCTTCCTAAATCAGAGCCCATCCCTGTGTATAGTTCTGCATGCCCCATTAAAGAAGTCGACCCTAATTGTAAGAAGGTAATATTAAGTAGCAAAGTGTTCATTTAAGGTCCAATAGTCTGCAGTCCCAAAGCCAAAGGTGCAATTCTGGCAGTGGGTGGTGAAAGGTAATTGTTGCCGGAGGAGGAGGAGGAGGAACACCAAGAAAAGTAAAAGCTTGATGTGAGTAGCCATATTAATCATAACAATAAAATAATTGTACAATATGCTTATTCCGATCACACTCACACCAAACGTTTGTATCACTCTTTAACAGTAATGGCTCCCCCCCATCCAGTGAATCCTGGGAACTGTAGTTTGTGAAGGGAGCTGAGAGTTGTTAGGAGAACATTTAATGATCTACAGTTCCCATAATTATTTGGAGAAGAGTGTGTGGAAAAATAGCATTCTCTGTGGCTACAGAACACAGAAAGACTATTTAGCGAGAGGGCACAGAAAAGAAGGGGGAGGGGAGGGGCTGGAATCCTGAACAGCAACGTTCCACACTGCAACATTTTCTTGCAGGTCCCACTTCCTACGTTTTTAAAATCATTAAATATTTTAATAAAATGAAATAAAGTGCCAACTAATTTTAACTGGTGCTAGGGAAGAGGGGTTATTGTACATCACATACGCCCCAAATTAAAACATTAAAAAAAATAATGAAAATGGTTGTTGTTGCTTACTTACATACATGCACGAAACCCAACCATGAAGCTTTTACTGTGTCCCACCCACCTTCCTAAGGGGTTTTTAAGAACAACAACCCAGTCCCCCTAGACAGCTATATAGCAAGCTCACCAGAGAGAACAAAAGCAATCTAGACCAAGATTTTACAGTCTAATGCAGAATAAATCTCAAAGACCTCCTTTGGTGCAGAAAGATGACAATCTAAAATATGGGGGGGGGCTGGGAGAAGGGCTACTTGGCTCATTTCTGAATTGTGACAAACCTATGGAATGCAAGCAATCAAACCTTACCCATCCCTTCCTCTCTTTCTTTAGCTGAGCCATTTCAATGGAACTGTGTGTTTTTTTGTTTTTTGTTTTTATTGATGTTGTCTTTAACCTGAACTCATTGAAGGAAAGGTAGAACTTTACATATTTGAATTAATTTAGCCTTATTTAATCAAGAAAAAGTTTCGATTTGGAACACTTGTTTTTACATAGACAAATCATTCCTTCACAAACTAAAAACTGGAAAGAAACTTAAGTGAGCAATCAGGTCTCAGATGTGAGATTTCTATGACCATCTACTTACAGTATGTATTGTTATGATTACAGAGAATGAAGTTGGCGCCGCCGTGCTAGTCATCAAAGCAGAAGAAGCAAAGCAACAGATCAACAGGCTTAATAATGAGGTATGGAGAATTTCATGTCATTTCAATTGTTCTACTCTTCTCTGTGGAGAAATGAAACTTGTTAGGATCAGCAACACCCTTGAGGTAAGGCTAATTTTTCATGCCTAGCAATAATTGATAAATCTTTAGTTCCAATAGCCTATAGCACTTTTCAGATGCGCTGCTCATGTATAAATGTTATGTGCATGATGGGCAAATGGGGACTACTGCACTAAGCTCCACCACCTGTATCACGATTTGCATTGCCCTCTAGGACATAGAGGTTGACCCTTCTCTGCTAAGAGATACTCCCTGCACGATTTGGAATCCCAGTTTTGAAGGAGAGGGTGCTTTGTCCTTTTTATTTTATGCATTGTGACTTCCTGTTGTTTTTTTCGATCATAGTTCAGTCAGTATTTATTGTGATTGTTAAGAGTGGATTTCTGTTTAATTATCATTTGCTGATGTTTAAAGGTAAAGGTAAAGGGACCCCTGACCGTTAGGTCCAGTCGTGGCCGACTCTGGGGTTGCGGCGCTCATCTTGCTTTATTGGCCGAGGGAGCCGGCGTACAACTTCCGGGTCATGTGGCCAGCATGACTAAGCCGCTTCTGGCGAACCAGAGCAGTGCACGGAAACACCGTTTACCTTCCCGCCAGAGCGGTACCTATTTATCTACTTGCACTTTGACGTGCTTTCGAACTGCTAGGTTGGCAGGAGCAGGGACCGAGCAACGGGAGCTCACCCCGTAACGGGGATTCGAACCGCCGACCTTCTGATTGGCAAGTCCTAGGCTCTGTGGTTTAACCCACAGTGCCACCCGCGTCCCATTTGCTGATGTTTGGAGCTGTTTTTTTTTTTTAATAGCTGTTTAATTGTATTGTGTACTATTATATTCAACTAGCTTATTGAATATTACTTTATCTGATATAAGTCATTCCATTTTTAAGTTATGCTTTATTATGACTTTCTGTATTGGATCGGATATCATAATAAGGTGTGCGTTCTTTGTTGTATATTTTGTTGCTGTAATCCACCTTGTGTATGGTAATATAGAAAGGCTATATACAAATCAGAAGTGGAAAGAAATGAAATGGAGCTCATGGAGGGCAATGGAGAGCTTAGTACGTTTTTCCCTTGTGTGTACGATTTACACATGAGCAGCACAACCCAGACAGGGCGTGTGTCTGTGGCCATGACGACATTTCCTACCAATGCATTGGACTGTAAGAGGAGGAACACAATTCCTAGCTTTTCCAGCACCTTCATCTTATTTCTTAGAATACCCTACTCCAGTTTTTTGTGTATTTTTAAGAAGAAAAAAATGAGAAAGGAGGTCATTGGTAGCCAGGAGCAACACATTTCATTAGCAGTCTTTCCAACCGAGATTAAAAGCTTTCTAGCAAAAGGGCAAATAACTGCTTTCATACAAGGTAATTGTGTTACAGCACTTTACTAGCAATCAAAAAATTGCTACCTAGCTCTTCTTTTGGAGGGGAACTAGTAATTTGCCACAGAGCAAAAGCTACTGGAGCAGAATGGACCAAAATCAAGCAAACATACTATGATCCTTAAATTTGTGCAGGGGCATAATACAGAAGTGCATTTCACTTTCATAGGAAATGCTTAGCATTCACAAAACTCTGAAGTCTCTAGTTAGCAAAAATGATTGTGTCTATAGAGATGCATTACTTTAAAACGTGTATCAGTAGTCCAAAAACCCCTAGCAAATTTATGCAGCTGAAGGCTCCCCATGTTTTATTATAGGGTCAGGAGAGGGGCAAAAAGAAGGTTTTGCCAATATGAACGTCGACATTCTACAGCTTTTAAAAATAATACCTGCTGAGCTGGTAATTTTGAAATTTGGCATGTGGGATCTACCTGAAGAGTTCTACAAATGTGCCAAACTTCAAACAACTATGATCTATTGATTATTATATTTTCCCCAAGGGGCCCAATGTGGCGAACATGGTCCTCCCCTCCCCATCTTATCCTCACAGAGTGAGGGATTAGACCCCTGGCCTCCTAGGTCATAGTTCAACACTCTATCCATTACAGCACAGGTACATCAAGTTTGAAAGTGCTGAAACATGGGCATTTCAACCCGCTGTTCTGCAGGTTTATAATATATTTCCATTTTTTGTAGAAAGTACTGGTGCACTTTATTCAGGCTTTATTCAGAAAGCACGTACTTTCATTGATTTGGTGAAGTTCTGAAATTCAATGTTAATTAAGGTTTTCCTTGTCCCATTAAAGTCTATGGAAAACAAGTACTGGCAGATAGTGCAGGGACGCAGGTCTAAAAGCTGCTCCTGAAAACTTGGTAACCCTCTGAAATGGCATTTGAAAGTGTGTGGTGGGGAGGGCCTCTTGGCCTTGCCGATCGGAAGGTCAGCGGTTTGAATCCCCGCGATGGGGTGAGCTCCTGTTGCTCTGTCCCAGCTCCTGCCAAACTAGCAGTTCGAAAGCATGCCAGTGCAAGTAGATAAATAGGTACCGCTGCAGCGGGAAGGTAAACGGCATTTCCATGCACTCTGGCACTCGTCACGGTGTTCTGTTGCGCCAGAAGTGGTTTAGTCATGCTGGCCACATGACCCGGAAAGCGTCTGTGGACAAACACCGGCTCCCTCCAGCCTGAAAGCGAGATGAGCGCCGCAACCCCATAGTCGCCTTTGACTGGACTTAACCGTCCAGGGGTCCTTTACCTTTTTACCTTTGCAGGGCATAGCAGGAATGAAAATCAAAGCCAAAGGTCTTTCCTAGAGTTCTGTGCTTGCAGAGGGATCCACCTAGTGGTTGTAAAGTGCAGTGCCTGATCACTTAGCTACGGAATATAATTGTGTGGTGCCACGGAGAGATGAAGGCTTGGTAACATTGCTGAGCCTGTGGGTGCATTTGGAGAAATGAGAAACTGTGGTGGGTCACCTTCATGCACCTCCCACTGCAAGACCTCAGCCCACACCACAGACCTATTAGTCCCCATACGGCGTACAACTTGGAGTGCAGTGTGGTGTAATGGTTAGCATGTGGCCTCCTAGGAACCAGTGGCATGCTAATTTTCCTCTTCCATTATTTGTCGTCTTGACAACCCTGTGAGGTAGCTCACATGAAGAGACAGATATCCATGTGAAAGTCAGTCACATTAAGGTTGCACAATTAGAGTTTGTTGGCAGGTCCTGCACAACAAGCCCACTCTGCACTCCACAAAAAGGGAAGTGACAAGAAAATGCATTGGAAAGTGTGGAATAACACTTGGTTTAGCACAGCATTGTCTAGCCTCTCCACAGAGCGAATGCTCCTTAAATAGCGAATGTTGCCTAATATCCTTGCAAGCAAATCAGGATGAACATTCATCAGTGAGCAGATCATCTGGAAGTGTCCACCTAGTAAATGTATTTAGGAGTGCAGCTTCAACGAATGTCTGCTTCAACTTTTATATATTTCTTAAAGCAAGTGGTAGTGTAAAAAAATAAAAGCTGAAGATACAAAACTAACACTGCACCCCAAAATGTTGAGATTTATTATTATCTCCACTGAAGGCACCTTAAGATGGCTAGTGAACTGCTTACCTGTTTGTAATGTGATTTCAGAAGCACTAAAGATTAATACCACAGTCATTAGGCTTTCCCCCACTTGTATGAAGCCCAACAAACTGGAAGTAGAAATACATTATGAAATAGTATTTCACACAATGGTATGTGGGGGAGGGGAAAGAAACAAACAAACAAAATCGTGGAAACTGAGGGTCAAGGTGAAGTAAAATTAAGATATTTGTTTGAGCATGACCCGCATTATCCCTTCCCACCATGCACTGTCAAATGCCATTTCAGAGAGTTCCCCAGTTTTCAGGAGCAGCTTTTCAATCAGAAAGAGAACCTTTAAATGACCACGTAAGCTCTTAGAATCCTAACCCATAGTTTCAGCATATCCAATGTATTTTTATATTGTTAATAATTAGTGAACATAGGAAGTTGCCTTATAGAGGCTGGCAGTGTGCTCTCCAGGTTTTCAGTCAGGGGATCTTCTCAGGCCTGCGTGGAGATGCCAGGAATTGAATCTTGACTGTTAAAGTGGCATAAATATGCTTTGACTCTAAGGTGTCTGGATGTGACTTAAGGCTACTTGATCTGCTTTGACTTAACCATGACAGCGTCAGGTGCTTAATTTATAGTAATGAGCAGGTTAAGTTGTACAAGTCACACACTAATTGGAAACGCTTTTAGTTCAGAAAGACTCAAATGCTTCACACTTATCCTTTTCTCTTTCTGACAGGTACGTTTACCCTTTTGAAAACTAATGTACAGCCTCATCTTGCTTTCTGCAAATTACTTCCTCTTTTCATCAATTTGATGAACTGCACAAGTTTAATTCTGCGAGCACAGTGGCAGTAATCTCGCCTAAAATACATTGATTATCTGCTACTGGAAGCAACGCAGAGCTAATTTTTAATTTTGTACCTTCATTTGCTTTTTTTCCTGCTAGCTACGTACAGTATAATCAAATGGGGAAAAAGAAGGTTCCCTTCAACTTTAATCCACAATTCACTCAGTTCAGTGTGTGTAAAGTAATTGATTTCAGCCAACAATGCTAGAATAAATGGGTTGTAGACTACAGCTGGTCACTTTCATTATATAGAGGTATATTCTCCATCAACATCCCTATAGCAAATTTTATGTATTCCAAAAAAATATGATTACACATATAAATTATCATGCTGATAAGCCTTCCCAGATGAGTACTTCTCAAATTATGAATTTTGATTAAAGAAATGGCCATTCTATTGAACAACATATAATATTAGATAGGGAACACTGTTAATTCTTGGTGATCGGGTACTTCTTAAACTAGGAAATATTTATAGTTACAGGTAGGTAGCCATGTTGGTCTGCCGTAGTCGAAACAAAACAAAACAAAACAAAATAAACCCTTCCAGTAGCACCTTAGAGACCAACTAAGTTAGTTATTGGTATGAGCTTTCGTGTGCATGCACAGTTCTTCAGATACATTGAAACAGAAATATAGGAAATATTTTGACAGCATTTCTGTTACATAGAAAGCTTTCAACATGACATCTTAGTCCCATTGAAATGCGGAAAATTTAATCATGGCTAGCATAAGACTCTTTGATTCCTATGCTACAAAAGCCTTAATTTCCTCCAATCCAATGTTTCAGTTGAGTTTCAGCTGAGCTTTTGCAAACATTTGTGACATTTTGGGGGGCGGGGGGGAGAGAAGAACTTTTTTTTCTCTTCCTGCCTTAATGGAACAATCCTGTACATATCAATTCAAAAGTACAGCCTATTGAGTTCAGTGGGGCTTTCTCCACGCAGTGGCGTAGCGTGGGGGGTGCAGGGGGGGGCCGGCCGCACCGGGCGCAACATCTGGGGGTTAGGGTTAGGGGGCGCAAATCCACGGGTTAGGGGGCGCAAATTACTTGCCTTGCCCCGGGTGCTGACAACCCACGCTACGCCACTGTCTCCATGGTAAGTGATTATAGGATTCAAGCCAAAAGGTTTATTTTCAAAAGCAACCCCCTCTAATAATTGGTTTTTATTTCATCATGTTGGAAGCAGATTATTAAAATAGTTTGAAAATATGATTTGAGGAGGCTCCAGCTTGACTCAGCAAACTGGAATGTAGCACCTAGCAATTGGTCCTGAAGTAATTCAAAACTTAGGCTTGGTTCTTGAATCTTCTGATTTGCTCCCCATGTGAGAACTTTGACCCACACAGTTGGTTTTAATGAAAATTAAAATAGGTTATTTGTTAGCGTTTCTGTGGCACACAATCGTGAACCACAAGTGGCACAAATATCAAACAAAACAAGAATCAATGGATTTACCGTATTTTTCCGTCTATAAGATGCCCCCATGTATAAGACGCCCCCCTATTTTGGGGGACTCCGATTTAAGAAAATGGGGGGAGATGTATCCATGTATAAGAAGCCCCCAAATTTTTGACATTAATTTTTATGAAAAAAGCCTAGTCTTATACACAGAAAAATACGGTATTTTCCTTAGGGAATAAACTCGTCTCTGTTCTTAAAGAGAATTTTGCAACTGGAACCAGAGAGATGGATTACGTTGTGAAACTTGCCTTCTGTGTATTGGATGGGATGCTGTTGGCGCTCTTACATTCATGACAGAGCTTTTGATCCAGCGGACAGCTTCACTAATGGAAGAAGATGGGAGGTGATTCTTGCCCATTCACCCTTTCCCTTCTATCACCCCACACCACCTTCCACCCTGATTTCCAAGGTCTGCAGAATTGGCAAAAAAATATATCTTCCCTTCCTCTTCCATTAATGGAGGCATCTGCTGGATCAAAAGCCCTTCTGTGAATGCAAGGGCATGAGTTGGATTCCACCATTTCTTTTTCGTTTGAACGATGTTGTGTAAATATTTTTATATGTATATATTTTTAAATATATATATATATATATTTCAGGTCACTTCTTTGACTCAAGAGGTCTCTCAGTTGAGCAAGGACATGAAGAATGTGATGCACCTCTTGGAAAACCTGGTCGTGGCACAGAAGTCCCCGGAGTTTTGCGCCGTGCACGGCGCAGCCGTGAGCCCCAACATGGAAAGCTTACAGACTAGAATGTCTTGGCCTCCACACCAGCCGTGTACGCATATGCAGGTTCCGAATGTCACCTGTACCAAAGCGCAGCTCTGCCATTCCAATACGATAGCCGGCATCTGGAACATGGATGCGACCTCCGTAGGTAGCGGTCCGCCAAGAACTGAATCCCACCTTCAAAATTCTACGGGTGGCGAATTCTATTATACGTCGAGCCTTGAACATTCCCCCTCCCACTACCATATGATCCAGAAGGATCACCTGCAGTTTGTGAGTTGCACCTCTCCGCGTTCGGACACCACGTTGACTCCCCTCCAGTCCATTTCAGCAACTCTTTCCTCCTCCATGTGCTCTTCGTCGGATACGTCCTTGCACCTTGTGTTGCCCAGCAGATCCGAGGAAGGAAGCTTTAGTCAGGGAGCGGTCAGTTCGCTAAGCCTCGAGAACCTGCCAGGCTCTTGGGACCTGGAAGGAACTACGGCGACAGCAGCAGCGCAGACCTCAGAAGACTTTCCTCTGGATGTCATGAAAAGCACAGTGGATATTAAAGATAGCAAAGCCATAAACGTATAATGGAAACGGTGACGTGATAACACTTCAAGCATGCTCCACAACTGCCAGCTTGTAAACTGCATGACATATTTAATTTTATTTTTTGCCTTTTCCTCAGATGCTCATGGAAATTTGCAAACTCAAAAATTGGCGACCCGTGCAAAGGCAAAGGTTTGACCAGCGCATATGCAGAGAGGTGATTTCTAGATTTAAGAAGCACATTGAAAAAGCCTTTTATACACAGATTGTAGCTTAACTGGACGGCTCAACAGACTTTTGTGACACTCTGCAGCTCCTGAGGGACAAAGTAGCTGGACCACGAAGACTGAGGAGCCTTAGCACAGGAGGTCTTTGTTGTGCGAAGCAAAGGGTTTTTCACCCCCTTACTGCCTGATTGTTGCCGCCAGACAATATCAGCTTCAGGTGATCGAGGCTCCTGCTAGTATTTATGCCAGTGCTGCAAAGGCAAAGGGACAATTACCACTGCATGTCACCTCCTTGACAATCAACCAAATAGAGCTGGTAGAGAGTGGTTAATTGTTGCACGCTCTTTGTTATGTAAATCAGACCTCTTTATCAAAAATACTATTTTTCTATACTTGGTAAGAAATATGTATTGAAAATATTTATAAGGAGACTAATCAGGATTTTGTTTTCCCCCTTTTTTTTTGGTAACAATGCTTGCCGTTTTCAGAATTAATGCACTATCATGTATACATTATTACGTATTAGATCGAAATATTCTTAGCTTAAAGCGGACATACAGCCCTTTTCTCTGCATGCAGTTTGCAATGAACTTGTTCATGCCGTTAGAATACAAATCAAGAATAGGGTACTGTTTTATTTACAAGAGAATAAAAGCCAGGTGGCTTATACAATGTTAAATCAGAAAACTGTGTAACAACATGTGAACTGTACTACTTTAATCGTTGATAACCAATGCCCTTATTTATTGCTATTGCACATCATTACTTTTATCCTTTATTTTTTAAAGGTCAGGTAACCATTTCAGAGTAAAACCGGACAATCGGAGGTAACTTCTTCAACCAAAACCATGGCCTGGGAGTTATATCTCAGGCTGTAGAATCACAAGCAAATAATTCTGAAATACGTTTTAAAGCAAATACTTAAGCTTTCCCCCACCATAAAAATGAATAGTCATCAAATCAGTAGGGGATATTTATCAACTGGCTTGCACTTTTGTACATAAATTTAACATTAGAAATAATAAAATGGGCAAGTGGATTACCCAAATAGGCATGTAATTGCAATTTATAATATTATAAAACCGAATAGCTAATTTCTGGGGTATGCAGACCAGCTCTTTTCAACAGGGAAGTGCATTTTGAATGTGTGACAGATTCCATGTCATCATAACACTACATACACATTCTAGTCTAAATAATACACCCCCTGTTTTGGATTGAGAAAGAAGCACAGTAAATCACATGAAGCAGCAACAGGTGGCGTATTTTGATGATTGCCTAGGCCAGCCAGCCACTTATCTGAGATCTTAAGGGGAACAAAAGAAGCAACTTTGGATCAAGGCCAAAGTTAAAGGCTGAGATGTTCTAACTTTTTTTTAAAAAAAAGAGTGAAACGTCAATTTGTGGGTTTCATCCAACAGGCCCTCTCAGCTAACAGTAAAGTTTCCATCAGTTGAATGAAGAGGGGAGCAATTTTCATTTATTCCCTCTACCCCCTGCCGCCCTGCTCACAAACCCTAAATCTCCTCCAGAGGGTTAGGGGAGCTCCATAGAAGACGCAGAGAGGCTACAGGGGAGAAATAGTTGAAAATTGCTTTCCTTCCTTTTCCTCTAATGGAAGCCTTACCGTTACCTGAGTGACTCCGTTAGGTGCAACCCTTTCGTTTCAAATGGTATGGCACCATATAGTGAGATGCTACTCAGGTTTACTCAGAAGTAAGGCCAACTAAGCTAAAGGGAAGGTACTCCCTATTAATTCTGCTATTAATGATTCACTTGGCTACTGTTCTTGCAGAAGGCTTTGTTCATCTATGTATAATAAGATTGGAATTAGATCTTGAAATTAATTAACAACATACACATGGGAATTGTCCCCCCCCAAAAAAGATAATATGGCCTGATAATGTTACAGTGCAATCCTGCTACACCTTTCTAAGAAGATAAGTCCTATTGAGTTCAAATGAGCTTACTCCCTGGAAAGTGGGTATATTAAGACTGCAAGGGTTTTCATTAGGATCTAGGATGTACAACTAAAATATTCCTGTATGGGAAAGGATCTTTTCCATGGAAAGAACCCCCAGAAACATACTGTTTTACAAATCCTGCATGATTTAAGGAATGCTCCCTCCTTATTTTTTTTCCTCCACTGTGCTGGTCACCACAAAATATTCCATTTTTTCAAGCTATAATTTGTGGAGCTATCAAATGGGTTTCATTGAGCAGAGGGTCCTGGTTTCTCAAATCTCTATAGTAACATTTTATTTTTCTCCCTATCACTTTTCTTTATTGCCCATAGGGGGGCATATAATTTGTCCTGTGCTAATAGCTGAACCTTTCCGTGTAAGCCAATAGCTGTAGTTAAAGGGAGAAGTATTTCAGCTTCCTTCCCCTTTAACTCACTCTTCTGGATTGGAGAGTAAGAGACAGGGAGCACAGAAAATTAGCAATACCAGAAAGCCCCAAAGCTATACCAGTACACGCATTAGTTTAAATGAATGACCTAAGTTAGTAATGTTCATTCATTTCAGTGGGTCTACTTCAAGCATGACTGGCATTGGAGAAAATCCATAGCATTAAAATGAAGCCACTGGTGGGAAAGTATTTATTTTTTACAGCTTATGAGCTCATGTCATTTGAAGGGGGCGGGGAATGTTTTCTATCAATAGCAAACATTTTATTTTTGCTGACAAAAAATATATCTAAATTGGTTATGTTTCACTTCATTTTAAAGAAAACACAAAATATGTAGAGTGAAATGAATGGGATCCTTGCACAGCGATCCACTATTGTACATTTGGATCTAGAATAAAAATACTTAATGCAAGAAACTTAATGGAGCAAATAAACCTCAGCTGATTTATCATAAAAGCTCTCCTTGATTTTATGTGTATATTTGTAAGCACAGCCACTAACACTTTTGCTCAGTCATCTTGGGTGCAACACCATTGAGTGTGATTTTAGGTGACTCTCCATTCCTAGGGGGTGGGGAACCAATCGGGGATGGGGGACCCATGGGGTCAGTGCCAGATTTATGTATAAGCTAAACAAGCGATAGCTTAGGGCCCCACTCTCTTGGGGCCCCACAAAAAATTAAAGGATAAAACAACAAATGGGTGTACATTTCCAAAATATAAGATAAAAAACAAATACGGTAAAACCTACATACAGCAACAGTGTTTTGCGTTGTGTAGGCTCCTATGATATAAGTAATGGGCCCCGCCTGCTAGCCTGCTCCCTAAAATATTCAACACAAAAAACAGCAACAATTGGTTGTTCACAAAGGACAGCTGGACATATTAAGGGCCCCATTACCTTTGGTAGATTAGGGCCTCATCAAACCTTTATCTGGCCCTGGTTGAAGTATTTACATACTGCATGGGATAACACCATAGGCAAATGGTACCCATGAGGTTCAGTGTGTGTGTAAAGAGGGCCTTGGATGGCAGAGATTTTGTGAGAGTATAGTTGCAGAGGAGAGACCGAAAAAGGGAAGGCATCCATGGGGGAGAAGGGAGGTGCAGGTCACAAACCTATGGGCAAAAATGCATAGTGAAGGGTGGTTCTAGCTAAAAATAAAATCACAGGCCACACTGAATTGAGATTTTGATTGAGGTAAGGAAAAACCCATCACATTCAGCAATGCTTTGTGAAGGTGGGATATTGCTTAGCAAAGTGGAATATTTAAAGCATCCAAAACAGCTGATATGAATCTTTTTTTAATGTAGCACCACATGCAGGCAGTCCAGCAACAGTAACTGGGATTGGAAAGGTATGTAGACATAATCATTGTAAGAGCATTTCATATTGTCTTTCTGAGAGTTTTGCAATCCAGCTGCCTTTAGAAGCTTATCTCTACCTATAGCTGCCTTCCTTACAGCCATCCCCAGCATGGATAGTTTATTGTTTCATTATTTTGTACTATGCACTATAAAACTAAAACAAATTCAATTTTAGTATCCTTCGTTGTTGCTTTTAACTTACTATTTCTGTACTACCTTGATTTCTCTTTTTCAGTGTGCTCCCACCTCCAAGATTTATCTATAGATGCAATCATTAATCTTGCCTTTTGCTCCTTTGTCAGTCAGTTCCCCTTTCCTTGGTACTCGCACTAATCCTCACCTGTCACAGGAGTGTGCCAGCCAGTAATCACACAGTTCAAAGTTGGTGTTAACTCTTTATTAGCAAAAAACACTTTCTCCACAGATTTGGTTGAGTGTCAGGCCTGTTGAGCAGAGCAGCTCATTCTCAGTGGTCTTACTCTGTGAAAATCAGTTGCTGAGACTAAAAAAATCGCACCTCCCTTCCTCTCCATGGCCTTTTCCAAGCAATCGGAGACTGCACCTGTGTGTAGCCAACCTCTCCTCCACCCTTTTTATGCCTCTTCTGGTACTGGGAGAGAAGTGGGGAAGGAAGCTTGTCATAGCAGGAGGGGGAGACACCCATGACTCTTCACCAGCCTGATTCATCTCTGCCTCTTGGTCCTCCTCATTCCACTCTGTTGCTTCAGCTTCTGCCTCTGATTCTGGATTTCTCTCTGCCACAGACTCACGCCAGCTCAGTCAGCCCTGTTACCTCTTCAGCTTCTGATACCTCCATAGCTGTCAACTTACAGATTTGAAAATAAGGGACCAGCAGCCTCAAAAATAAGGGATCAGCAGCCAAAATAAGGGATTTTCCGGGCACAGGTATGTTCAACTTCTGAGCCCCTCCGAGCCAAAGGCAGAAAGCCCAGCCAGCAGCCAAACGAAGCCACAAGTGGTGGTTCCCACAGCGCAGCAACCCGGCAAAGGGGATGCAGCAAGGAAAACCACCGTC